GAAAAGGTGGCCTTGCAAGCCCAAGCTCAGCCGGCCTGACCCTAAACCCCCCAAAAATTTTGAAGTGCTAGAGTGAAGGAGTCAGGAGTGAGCCTTAAAGCGAGTTGTGCTGTTCTATTACTATTAATTTAGTGGAAAAAGTCATGCGAGTGTCGACACGATGACAACGGTAGGGACGATGGCGAGGAAAATAAGCGTGATTCTGGCGATGTCTGGAGTCCATAATTATAACGTGCGGGATGACGCTGTTGAGCTGGGGACAAGGCATGACTCCTCTTCGGAAGATGCACGCTGGGTGCAAGGCTAGTACGGCAATTGCAGTCTAGACACTTCGACGCCTCTCTTCATATCTTAACAGGCTGTTTTGTGTTGTTTTTCCTTCACCCGGGCCAGCCCGACAACCCAATCCCTAAACCTGCATCCCTTAACCTGAAATCCTAAGCATCCCCCCAACCCTACAGTAAAGCTTGAGCATCCCGAAACCCTAATACTTTTCGTCCCTAAAACCAAAAAAAGGAATCGGAAAACCTGGAAACCCTACCCTAAACCCTACACCCTAATCCCTAAAAACCCTAACCCTAAACCCTAAACCCTAAAACCCAAAAAAAGGAATCGGAAAACCTGGAAACCCTACCCTAAACCCTACACCCTAATCCCTAAAACCCTAACCCTAAACCCTAAACCCTAAAACCCAAAAAAAGGAATCGGAAAACCTGGAAACCCTACCCTAAACCCTACACCCTAATCCCTAAAAACCCTAACCCTAAACCCTAAACCCTAAAACCCAAAAAAAGGAATCGGAAAACCTGGAAACCCTACCCTAAACCCTACACCCTAATCCCTAAAACCCTAACCCTAAACCCTAAGCCCTAAAACCCCAAAAAAGGAATCGGAAAACCTGGGAGCCCCGACGGTGCCAGAGAGTAGGGCTGGCCTAGGGGGTTTTGGTGGCTACGGGGGCTTTGAGGGTTCTGAGTGGCTCTGAGGGGGGGGGAATAGGTAAGCCTTGGTTTGGGGTTTTCCGTGGCTGGTGGGGGGGGGGGGATTATGGGGAAGCCACGGTTTGGGGATTAGGGTTTACCTGTAGCCGAAAAGACCTACCTTTTTAAGGAACTATATATAGAAACCATAATAAGGAACCCTAAAAAGGTAGGTCTTTCCGGCTACAGGTAGGGTTTAGGGATTAGGGTTTCGTTGCCCCTTGTTTTGCTAAGCCCTCCTTCCTGTAGCGGAAGTTTAGGATCTTGGGGGAGTTTCCGAAAATCGGGGACCCCAATATAGTACGCTAAACAATAGGAGCCTTATCATAAGAAACCCAAAACAAGGTACCCCTAATTTCGGAAACTCCCTTTTGGGGTTCAGGATCTGAGGGTGCTCGGATTTTATTGTGGGGTTTAGGGTGCTAGAGGTGTTCTTTCTTGCCTTTTTTCTAGTTGGTTTTTTAAAGTTTAGGGTTTAGGATCTAGACGTGTAGAATTTTCGGGGTTTGGGGAGGGATTTAGGGCTCAGGGTTTAGGGGTTTTGGGGTTTGGGCGTTTCAGGGCTTTACAAGCCTCCTACACAACATGCGATGTCGGAAAACCGAAGAAACCCAGAGCTGCAAAACCCTTGAACCTCCAAACTCTAAAACCCAAACGCCCTAAACCTCGGAACCCCAGAACCCTGAACCCTAACCTCTCAATCCCTAAATGCCCCAACGCTTGAACCCTGACCTGCTACTGCAGTCATAGCAGTGTTGTCCAGTCGTGTTTCAAAGCAATTTGGATTCGGGGCCAAGTCTCTCTGCAACCATAATCACTGAACCCTACACCCTGAACACCGATGACTTTACAGGCTGAGCCAAAAGGCTGAAACGACCAAACCTATTGTGCACGGTGGGCTCAATCACAGAAAAAACCTGCCTGAACACAACGGCGTTCAACGAACAAATGCCAAACCTCAAAATGCATAAAACCCGAAACCGCTAAACCCCTAAACCCGAAACAAGGAGTTTTTCTAAAGGCTGCGCCGCTTGAAAGGTTGTCAACCAAGATGCGTCTCCATGCCGGCCACTACATCATGGGTAGCCAGACCGTGGGCTCTCTATTGCAGGCTGATCTTATGGCTAATTTCCAGGGGTGGCTTGGGATTGAAGGGTAATCTTGAAGGTACTCCGGTTGCTTGCGTTGAAACGTACTTGTTCTTCACATGTTGCTAACTTTTGACATCAGATATTGGGCTGGGGGCTCATGCCGGCTTGTAGGGTTCCGTCTGAGGGACATCACTGCAACTTGCAACTGACAAAACACCGTACATGTACTTGCATGGCTGCAGCGTTTGCTTTCTATGTCGCCCATGTCCACTCGAACTGACTGGCATTGAGCCATATTAGCATTCCGCATCACAGACTATGGCAGGTCTGTGCAAGTCGTGGTTTGGATAACGATGCACCTCACATCCATCACCTATGAGGTCGCACAACGGATTGAAACTTCTTTTGTGAAGAGCTGGGTAGCCTGCAACTGGTACACAGCGACAGTATCTGTCGGTCAACAGCGCACCTACCCTTGAAAAGACTACAATGATAACCGTCCATGCAACACGGAGCTGCTCTCCGCTGGTGCAATTCCCGGACGACTTGAGCTATGCAGGCCTCCTATCCTACAGGATAGAGGCAATGCACGATGAGGAACTCGGGGCAAGACGGCAGAAAAGGGAGTGTGAATCAAGACGCTGAAGTCCCAACATATTCTGGGATTTCAGGCTTTGGGTGAAGGGTGGGGCCAGGGACGTACGATTCATGCCAAAAGAGCCTATCCTGGCCCTGTGCTTAGACATCGGCTCATATTGAGCTACGCAACAGCTACCTAGCACGAGAGTGACCGGAGCTTCACCGGCGAATCTCTGAAGTCCTGCTATCCTATTACTGGCCTTGCTGCCGCCTCCATGGAAGTGAAACCTTCGCCTACGGAAAGGCACATGGCGAGTGTCGCCAGGCTCAGACCGTCTCGTCCAAGTTCCAGCGGTGTGGGCCAAGGTTTAAGGCCTTGAGGTTTAGGATTTGAGGCTTCCGAGTGGCCATGAAATCGTCCATACAACACGGAGCTGCCCGCCGCTGATACAAGCAAGGTGTAGACGAGATTGAAAAAGACTTCATCCATGCAGTTCTCCCATCCTACAGGATAGAGAGGATGCATGATTCGGAACTTGGGGGAAGCGGCAGACAGACAAGCCAGTGAAAATTAAGACGTCGAAGTCCTAACGTATTGAGGGCCTGTCAACGACAGACGCCAGAAGCCTCGACCCTGGGCTCAAAAACGATGTACGGGATATGAACCTGAACCAGTGTCGAGCTACACAACAGCTTTCACCGAACCCGACGGTGACAGACTTGAGCTTCATAAGCGAAGGGACCTATCCCTACCTCTGCAGTCCACAACCGCCCGACCTTGATATCACCTGACACGTCTTGCTGCCGCCTTCGTCGAAGTAAAATGTCCGGCTGCGTCAACCGGTTAAACCAGGTCGGAATGTCACATGACGACCGTCGCGACGCTTAGGACAGCTTCGTCCAAGCAATTTGCAGCAGTGCTGGCGGGCTTGGAATCCAAAAACCTGGGCCAAGGTTCAAGGCATCCCAGACTAGGGTTTGGGGCTTCCAAGCTAAGACCTTAAAGCCTTCAAAATTGGTTGTCTCTTCTTCTCCCGTTCCTAGGTGCCCGCAGCGCCCGGATTCCCGGAAGGCCCGGGCGGGCGAACGCATTTCAGGGTTCTTTGTGGTTTAGCACCTTTTGGAGTTCTCGCCTCTGGTGAGGTTGTGGGGTTTCCGGGGGCCGTTCGTTCCCTCGGGCGCTGGACGGCATGCTCTGCTTCCCCTTGCACACAGCCAGCCGACGCGATTTTCCCTCCCGGCGCCGTTCGCGAGGCGTCACAACCACCCAAAACCAAGTCTTTTCAGGCCTGGGCCTAATATCAATCCATCTTTGTCAGTACCAGACTCGACACTATAGAGAGCCCCGAATCCTTCTTATCTTTGTTCATGTGTCTTTGCTTGCACAGGTGGGGGGTGGGGCAGTGGTGTAATAACGACGTCTAAAAAACATGGTTGCTCGGTGTTGTGTGCGCTTCGACAACCCTGGAACAGCCAACCTCTCCGACACCCGAAACCCTCGCCCAACCGAGTGATGTGCTTGCTGCAATTTGATAAGTCATCTGGCATGACAAGCCAAGAATGTAGCTGCATCAACGTTCCGAAAGCTCGTTAGCATCCTGTACCCGAATCCTGAAACCGCTATCCCCCAACTCTCAAGCCAAAACGAGATTGAGGCTCCGGGAAGGCGCTGCTAGCTTCTACAGACTCTTTTCGATCGTGAGCCATTTAATGTGTAGTTGTCAAATTCTGGTCCCTTTTTGGGCACCCTAAGGATTAGGTGCCGTACTATGATAGGGACCCACAAAGGGGCCCTAATGTTGACAACCACCCATTTGGCTGATCGAAGCTTCGCCCTGGGCACTACTCATAGTCACACCTACTCTGCCAGTGCTGCTCAATGTCCCTTCTTCCCTACTACTACTACTACTACTACTACTACTACTACTACTACTACTACTACTACTACTCCTACTCCTACTCCTACTCCTACACCTACTCCTACACCTACTCCTACTCCTACTCCTACTCCTACTCCTACTACTTCTTCTACTACTACTACTACCACTACCCTACGACTTCTACTGGCATTATTATTGTTACTATTACTCGCATTATTATTATGATTACTATGATTACTAATATTCTTAAAGTTGGTAGGGAAGATCCTTGGGCCTGCTCTGACTGATGCAGAGGAGCGCTTCCAAGCGGTGCAGGAGGAGATTGGTCCTTGGCTTCGCTCAAAGCCGCCCTTCCAAGGCGCAATTTTTTTTGTTTGTGGAAACTTTGGAAAATTTGGAACTTTTGGATGATTCTAGGTAGTAGGGGGGAGGGCTGAAAGACTTCGTAGTTGAAGTAGAGAGGTTGAGGCTTAAGGCTTAGCTGTGTTCGCTTCTGTTTTGATCACATTGCAACGGCGGGGCAGGCGCATGTTGAAGTCCTCAACGTCCGTGATCCTCGGATGCCGCAAATGCAACGACAAGATGCGGCTTCCTTGGGGTCCTTAATTAAGGATAATACCTTAAATTAGAATATGATTCCTAATATGATTTAGGGTATATTCCTTAATTAAGGGATATTGGAGTCTCTGGGGTGTTAGCTTCGGCGGCAATCGAATCAACCTTTTCTTTGCTGAAAGGGCAGTGCCGCGAATGCAAAGAGCCCTGCCAGCTGGGGAACCTCGCCTAATGGTTCTATAAAGTTTTTTTTTTTTTTTGCGGGCCCTTCTCCGACTATAAAGGGTTTAGGGTTTGGAGTTTCCGAAAATTAGGGGCACCTTATTTTGGGGTACTTATAATAAGGAGTTCGATTGATGCATCCCAGTCTGCCCAGCTTTAGTCTGACGACCCATCCACCAGCACACCAGGCCCCCCCCCCTCAACATGAGCCTGTTTGGTTGAGTCAGGCTCTGAAAAACCAGGCCGTCAGCATGGGAAGCCTAGGCAACAGCCAAGACTCTTGCTGAGGACCAGCTCCTCACCGAGGGTTTCTTCTCAACTGAAGGGCTTCGGTGGTGGGTATTGAGCCCTAAACCCTTATAGACCCCTTTAAAGGAACCCTAAACCCTAAACCCTTATAGACCCCTTTACAGGAACCCTAAACCCTAAACCCTTATAGATCCCTTTAAAGGAACCCTAAACCCTAAACCCTTATAGATCCCTTTAAAGGAACCCTAAACCCTAAACCCTTATAGACCCCTTTAAAGGAACCCTAAACCCTAAACCCTTATAGACCCCTTTAAAGGAACCCTAAACCCTAAACCCTTATAGATCCCTTTACAGGAACGACCACGACAGGACCAGAGCTTCGACCCATCAGTCCCATGGGTACCGCTCGTTTGGCTTTTGCTCGGGTCCCGGTCAGAGCCTCCAAAACCCCTTAATTAAGGAATATACCTTAAAGTATAGTAGGATCCATAATATGATTTTAGGTATATTCCTCAAGTAAGGGGTATTGGAGTCTCTGGGGTCCCCGTCCTTATCCGCAGGAAATGACGCCTCTGCCGCTCGCACATCCAGCTGCAGCCTGGGACTGGATTTAGGGCTTAGGGTTTAGGGTTTAGGGGTTTAGGGTTTAGGGTTTAGGGGTTTAGGGTTTAGGGCTCTGGGTCATCGGATAAACCAGTCTTGAAGCAGTGTGCCATAGTGCGCCTGTCTGCCATGAGCACTGGAACTCGTCAATTGATGGGAGGCCAAAAGGAAGGTTTAAGATTCTTGGGGTAGGGATTCCTTAGCATGAACCTTATTATGGGAACCCTAATCCCTAGTAAACCCCCATAGGCTAAAACCGCTTTTGGCCTCCTATGATCAATGCACTCTGCTTCGTGGAGAGTTGCAGACGGTCGAGGCAGCTGTCCCTGGAGGCCGCGGAGTGCATCTTGATTGCCTGCGGCTTAGGGCCCGTTTCGGTTAAGGGTTTAGGTTTAGGGGTTTAGGCGTTTAGGGCTTAGGGGTTTAGGGCTTAGGGCCGTTTCGGCGAAGGGGGGCCTGAGGTTTTTGGACTTCGTACTGTAATGTAGGAACCTGATTTAGAAGCCCTGGGCTTATAACCCGAAGATTGTAGGATTCATATAAGGAACCCTAATAAAGGTCCAAACTTTCTTCATCAGGTTCCTACATTAGGTCGTACAGGAATTGCCATTTTCGCCGCTGCCATCCTATGGTGTTCCCCTCGCCATGTAGCAAATTGTGCCCATTCACATTACAGGACAGATATCAGACACGCAACTCTCGGGCGATAAAAGAAACAGCGGAAATCGGGTAAACAACCGTGGCATGCCCGGAAGGAAAGGGTGTGGAGTTAGGAGAACAGGCAAAGATGCAGCTATTACAGCATCTACCGATGTCAACATTGCACGTTGGAACATCCAAAGGTGGGGTCATGCCACCTGTGGCAGGTGCAGCGAGTTTGCTTCGACGAGTTCAGCCACGCACCAAACTCCTTGGATCTGCAGTGCTGAGTGCAAACACCGTTCTTCGAAAGCCTACAGACCTTACACATTACAGAAGCAACCCTCTTGCTCTTGCTATTAATGCTCTGAGTCTCGGAGAACTGAGTGCATTCGTGCATGCTCCAAGCTCATTTCTTTCAAAAACGAAAACCGCAAACCACAGCTTTCTGCCCAAGGTCTTGTCAGCAGTCCGAAATCGACCTCCATCGCAACCACCTGTTCCAAGCGAACCTTCGGCAGGCGTGCAAGGGATGGGCGTACGCCTTAGGCACCTGCCACCCCGTGGCTGGCACGTGCTAGAACACACGGCTGTGCGGCACTTCAGATTCCAAAATAAAGGTCGAGGGTTGGGGTTGTCGATGCGCCCCATCGCGCGATGTCATCAATTTTTGGACCCCTTCAGACATGAGCAGGGAGCCGCCTTGCTTTGGTCTTGCCGCGATTGCCTTTTGAGGTTCACCTTCAAGTAGGCCATCATGTCATCGAACTTGTTCATTTCCTGACTCAGGGTCTCAGCTGAGTCGGTCTTCCAGTGCAAACACAGCCAGGCGAGTCATGCGGACACGGAACATGTGACGATCCTCCAAGCATACGGGGAACGCATTTTTGGCCGCCCATGTGGTTCGGGGTGGAGGCTCCTTTCCCGTTTTAGGCGTAGGGTTTCGACCGAGGTGTAGAAACTATCCAGTCGCTGGAAACCCTGCAGCGCAGACACCTGTATAGAATCAAACGCTCCGTGACCCGCACAAAATATACCCCAGGTAAGGATCCCTCCAAACCTATCCGGATTCCTGCGGTGATCGTGCTTTCCGATTCTGGCCGCGGAAACCCTGCTTGAAAGGACCGAGAGGCGCTGAGGTCACCCTGGAAGTGCTTCGCCGTGGCGCAGCGACAAGGCGCGATGGGCACGCCGGCAGAATCCGCAGCCGGTGGTGTGGCGCAAATGCCAGCATGCCTGGAGCTGTCTAGTCTGGTGCTCTCCATCTGCACTGGTTCGGAGTCCAACCTAGTGATAGTTCAAGTGATTCGGTGGCTAGCTGTTGAGATGCAACCGCTCACACTCGGCGCCCAGGTCGATTTATCTGCTGCTGTGAGGCTGGTTCACGCAGAAGGCGCAGATCCAATACGGCACCTGGCAAGAAAGCACTGTCGGCCCCGTCAAGCAGCAAAGTTAATGGTGACATCACTGCCAGTCCTGGCAGACCAGCAGCACAGCAACAGCTCAAGCGCCCTCTTGGGGTTCTTCGAAGAATGCTGGGCTTCAAGATGATCGAAAAGGTGAAGACCCCGATACCTCGAGCTTCCCGGATGCTCGCAGCTTCTCGAAGATGTCTTTCAATCGGTCGGCTTTGAGCAGCTGGGCGATGTGGTCGTAGGTGTCAACCTGGCACAGGGCCCGAGGGCTTGGGATTCAGCGTGAGGGGCTCAGTGCTTGTTGTTTAAAGCTTTAGCTATCTGTGACAAAGAGACAAGACAATAACTCGTGGAAGGGGCCCGAATGAGCCACAGAACTCAGCAATCCTGCAGCGGCACATGCCCCGGAATACAGATGGATGTAGTGGCGGTGACGCCTGTGCTAGAGCACTGTCCTACAGATAGACCCTAAACCCTAAACTTAGATTTCGGAAACATTGCTGGCCTCCAGGGCATCGGACAGGACGGCAGCAAAGAGGTATGCGAAGTTGTTGCGCCAGCTGTGCGTCACCATTTCTCAGTGCAGGCGTACAGTAGAAGCCAGAAAGCTGGAATATCATTATCGTAAACCCTTTAAGGTAAATTATAGGGGATCCTACCATTAATCCATATTCCAACTTTCTGGAGTTCCCTTTAAGGGTGTCTCTTTTCGGCTCTTGTCTCTCCGATGATTGAAAGGCCCTGGACACGAAGGCCCACGTGATCCCAAAGCAAAACCATCACGGCCCGATGGCATTTCGTACATGTCAGGGATGGGCATGCGAAAACCAAGCCGAAGCCATTTCTGCATCCAGGGATCTCACCGCCATGCGCGGCACGTTGTTCACACACCTTGGAAAACTGAAAAACAAACATGCTCAAGACCAGGCCCTGCACTACCTCCTTCCGAGACACCTCCCTTCTTCAGGGTTTGGGGGTTAAGGCCCTTCTGCCTGCCGAAACATCCTGACAGCAAGGCCCCCGAAAGCCGGGGAACGTAGCGTAGGCGTAGCCCACCTTGGCTAAGGCTTCTGGGCTCAAATGCGTGTGACATCTCTTGGAACCTCAGACATATCGGGGACCTTGAGACGTCTTGGCTTGTGCTTCTCATCACGTCTCTGACCATCCATCTCTGCTTGCATGTACGTGTGCCATGTGCATGCTGCGTTGCGGACCAACATATTTGCACATGCATCTTTCATGCACAAACCTCCGGGTTCAACTCAGCATCTCTCAAGACAGACCCCCGAGTCATTGCAGCTCGCAGCAAGAAGCTCGTAAGTGGACCCAATCCATGGTCCGAAAGCCAAAAGGGTGGTTGTCAAAATGATGGCCGCTTTTGGGGTCCCTAGCATTTTTCGGCACCCAATATTTAGGGTACCCCAAAAAGGGACCCTAATCTTGACAACCACCCATATGGGAGCTTCCGACAATAGGGGACCCTAATATAGTACTACCCCTATTTTTCGGAAACTCCCATATTAATGAAAGGCGAGAAGGCGCCGCGATCCCGTAAATCTGAAATTCGAGAACCGGAAGTCCCCATGAACCCAACCCTGCCACTACCTGGACCCTAAGGAACCTTGTTGAGGGCTCCCTGATATGATTTCTTTATATAAGTCCTTGACAAGGTAGGTTATTTCAAAAAACCCTACCTTGTCAAGGACTTATATAAAGAAACCATATTAGGGAACCCTAAAAAAGGTAGCTAGGTTATTTGGGGTTAAGGTAACCCCTAACCACTGATGATCCAGCGCACCTCGGCGGAGGCTGGCGCGTCCTGGGCCCGTTCTGGTCGGGCCCTGGAAGGTCTGTCGGAAGCCTCGGGCGGCTCAAGACTAGGCTTCCTCCGCAATAGTCGGAAACTCGCTCTTCGGGTTTCGGGTTTGGGGTTTGGGGTGTTAGGTTTAGGGCTTAGGGCTGAGGGCAGCGAGCAGAAGCTCCGTTGCCGCAGTGATCTCCGAAGTACTGCAGTCCTGGGATCGTGTGCCGAAACAGCCAGGAATTGAAATCCAAGAAAGCCCGAAGTCGAAGTCTTCGAAGCCCCAAAGCTGAACCAACCAAAATGCGCCAGTATATACTATATTTTATGTATTACATATTACATATATGTGTTTATGTTATTGTATTGTATGTGTGTATATATATATACATATATATATATATATATATATATATACATATCTTTGTTGTTACAGTATGTGCTGACGTGCCTTGGGAGTGATTGACAGGGACAGGGCGGCAGCACCTGTCACAGGACATCTCCAGGTAATGATTAGGTCGGGAACCTGTTTCCGCCGCGGCACCCGACGAACACATCCAAGCACTCTAGTACCCATCGCCGAAAATCGCACGACTGCTGTGAGATGCAGATGTACTTCCTGTTCTTTGATGAGGTCTTCTGGTGTGGGGCTGTAGTGAAGCTGACTGATCGTTGACAGAGCCATGGATTTGGACTCGGACTCGTATGTCCTGTGGCGCTTAGACAACCATCGGCATCGGCATGATCCCCACTTCAGAGACCCGACCGCCTGTATCAAAGCTGACGCAGCAGAGGCCGTCCTCATCGAGGAAACTGCCTTGGGATTGCAGCTTTGCGGTTCATCTGTGCGGTGACGGGTGGGAGACTCGAGGTGATCTGCAGGTGCCCATGTCATGTAAGAAGTCACACTTCTGCTGTGCTTGCGACCATCCGAACAGCTGAGCGAGCTGGCTCGTCTCCAGCTCAACGTCGCCGTTGAAGCCGTCCCAAAACCTAGCCATGTCCACTGAGCGGGACTAACACGTTCTATGATGGGGTATCTTTCGCGGGTCCTACAGTATCGCTTTTGATCTAGTACACCAAGGCCGAAAGTGGAACCGTACCATGAAGCCAGCCTAGGCTGGAGCCACCGAATTCAAAGGCACATCGTTCCCAGAGACTCCAATATCTCTTAATAAAGGAATATACCTTAAATCATACTATGGATCCTACTATGATTTAAGGTATATTCCTCAACTTAGGGATATTGGAGTCTCTGGGTTCTCTTGGGTTCTCTTGCTCGAAGAGAAAGTGTTCAGACTTGCATGACGCTAGCCGGGCGTCGAGGTCGCACTCAAAGTGGTCTCGAGGGCACAGATGGGAGTGGCCTCGGATCTGTCATGTAAATCCCATTACTTTCTATTACTATTACTATTGCCATTACTATTACTATTGCTAGTACTATTACTATTACTAGTACTAGTACGAGTACTATTGCTATTACTACTTTTATTGTTTTTATTATGATTACTACTGTTACTATTATTACTCGTATTGAAATTGTTATTGCTGTTAAATACTTGCAACATTAGTTTTCGAACAGGTCTAAAGTGTCCAGGCCACTGCTGAGTCCCAAATTCGCAGGTGCAGGCACTCGTTCTCGAAAAGGTCCTGACTTCTCGCAGGTGGGCCAGGTCATTCTTCAATAGGTTGTCAACGAACCCTGTATAGGGGCCTTATAATTAGAAGAGTGAGAAGGGGGTACATTATACTATAACTATATTGAGGAACCCCCACAATAGCTTACTTTCTGGTCCCGCCTCGCTTCAGCGGGCGACTCTTGGTTTGCATGCGAAGTGCAAATCTGCTGACCCCTCGCTTTGGGAGCCCCGTTTGCTTCAACTCCGAAAGTCTTTGCGCCTTTGGGCATTTTCACGGGGTCTTAAGGCGCCTGCACTCGAAAACCCTAAACCCTAAAGTTATTAAACCCTAAACCAAAAATATCATGCGCCGAATTTCGAGCAGCCCTCCTAAACCCAGAAATAGGCAGAGAGCCTCCACGACGAGAACATCCTTCGGCTTGACTCCTGGTTTAGGGCTTTGGGGTTTAAGGCGTAGGGTTCAGGGGCTTTGGGGGCTTTGGGGAACTTAAGGCTTTATGGGGCTAGGGGAGGCTGCAAGGAAGCCGCGACCTTAAGTTGCTGAAGCTGCTGCCTTGCGAGCTGCCTTCCAACCTTCCAGATAGTCCCAATGTTGCGCCCGACCGTGGTAACCCGCCACACCATCGCCAATACGGCTGTTGTTTCTTGCTGAAAGCTGAAAGAAACTCAAATTGATATTGAAAAGTGTAACCTTTGTGCCGAACGACCCCTGCGCTTTTTCGTGCCGGACGTGCAGAGGCTCAAGACCTACGTAAAGTAGCTCATAAAAGCCCCAAAGCTTGTTGTTGACGGAAAACATTCACAGCTTCGAAAGAGATGGGCTTAGGCTGGTCCTCCGAAAGCGAATAAAGAATCCGATCCCTCATCTCAGGTCTGGAAGCACATTGACATCGCCAAGCACTACCTTTACCGTCCCTTGGCGGTCCTGGCGCTGTATCAAAAGTGCCCGTGGCTGTCCCCTTCCACGGCTTGAACACGGCGGACTCGCTGACGACCGCAATCCTGAAGCACACACCCAAAACCCAGCGCTCCAGCCAGGGTTAGCAGGTTGATGATTGAATCCTGAACCCGACACCGACTGGCACAGCCCTCTGCCTTCTGTGCCAAGGCTCTCGTAGGACAGCCGCGGCCACAGAACCGTCCCGCCACACAGGGCGATCGTGAAAGATCGGCTTTCGCGGAGCTGCATGGACAAGGGGATGATGGCCTGCCGCACGACATCATGGGTGGTGGACGCTTCCGGGTCAAAGTGGTGCATCACCTTGGTTTCGCCAAAAGTGCTGTCAGGCGGTCCATGCCAACTCCTCCAATATCCCGTAAGTAAGGAATATACCTCAAATTATAGTAGGATCCCAAATATGATTTAAGGTCTATTCCTTAATGAAGGGATATTGATATTATAGTAGGATCCCAAATATGATTTAAAGTATATTCCTTCATTAAGGGATAAGCTGCAGCCACTGGGTCTCAGAGACTGCGAGACAGGCCATGCTCTGGTTTTTGGGCCGAGCTGCCTGTGACCCAAGCAGCGAGTAGAAGTCCTGGGTTGTGCTTTAAACCCTGTGAAAATTATTTATGAATAGGTTCCCTTTATAAGGCAATAAGGGGAATTAAAACTTATCCCAAAGCACAACCCAGAGTCCAACAGCTGGCGGACCGTGATTCCACGACCGGCAAGCTCCTGCACTTTTTCATTCCAAGCCGTCCGCGTGTCCTGGAGAGGTGGCCGCGTGGCTTGAGCTTGAGCTTGAGCTTCTGTCATTGAGTCTATGTACGTTTCAGGGCGGCAAGTTTGCATCCCGTGTCTCCCCCCAATTTCGGAGCGCAGTGACGAGGCCAAGCCCAACTCTACAAGCTAAGCCACCAATCCCTGGATTGAGGGCTGTGGTGCAGTCGTCCAATCCTCAGCCTCATCCGTCGTCTCCATGTTCTCGTGCTCTGTGGGAAGGTCCAAACCGAACCTCTCCTTAGCTGCGGGGACTCCATCCGAGGGCTGTAGGCTTGCGATGGAATTGCAACCCGGAAAGATCCTCCTTTTTGCTGAAGCCTCCGACCCTTTCCCAATCGCTTCAGCTCTCGGGCCGCAAGCTTTCAGTCCCAGCAAAGCATGTCGCCGCTGACGGCAGGGCAAGGTGTGGAATCGTGGCACGGACCCCCCCGCACTCCAAATGCTTGAAGCTCCGCTCATGGTAACTCACCCTAGCCGCCGCGGGCCTGAAAAGCCGAAACGCGCGTAAACCCTAAACCCTATAGGGAACTCCAGAAAGTTGGAATATGGATTAATGGTAGGATCCCCTATAATTTACCTTAAAGGGGTTACGATAATGATATTCCAACTTTCTGGCTTCTACTGTAAGCCCGGGACCGGCACTGCGGCCAAGGCTCAGGTGCCGCGGCGTTCGTCCCCTCCGCGCCGACCAAGCTGGGTCCCAAACTCAGGAGCGAAGCCAAGAAGGGAACGAAGACGAGCTTGCCTGGGGTCTATGTGGGTGGTTGTCAAAATTAGGGCTCCTTTTGGGTACCCTAAAGTAATAGGTGCCGTATTAAATAAGGGACCCAAAAAGGGACCATAATTTTGACAACCACCCATGTAGATCGGAGCAAGAGCACCCACTACCGAGATGAAACGCATAAAGCTTTGTTTTTTCCGCCAGAAGGTGCGAAGAAGGACCACAGCAAAGCAGGTCATCCATTTCCATTCGTGCTCGACACCGAGATTCGCCAAGAAGGCCGTGATGAAGAGCAAGTGTAAGAGCGTGAAGCAAATGCCGATGAACCAGAACAAGCAGTCCTTGTACCTGAGATTGTTCTTGTCTTATGATTGCAGAAGATGCGCTTCGCCAAACCCCGAAAACCGTCAAGCTATTCCCCGCAAAACCCTGCAATGCCAACGAAAACGAGCAGCAACACACTCCATGCCGTGGTGAGGGAGCAAGCTTCAGGAAACAACGAGACAAGATCTGCGTTTCAAGCCCCCCCAAGTAAATACTGCTTGTATAATATGCCACACTATAGTATAATCTATTATAGGATAGTACAGTACATAGTAGAGTAGAGTGGAGTAGAGTAGGGTAGAGGAGGGTCGGGTGAAGTAGAGTAGAGTTTAGTACAGCCTAGCATGGCGGAGTATAGCATGTGCAGTATAGTCTGGTGTAATATGACCTAACATGATGTAGGGCATTTTTATTTGGGCTTATCCGAAAATAGGGGACCCTAATATACTACCCCCAAGTAGCAGGATCCTTATTATAAGGACCCCAAAATAGGGTGCCCCAAAATTTCGGAAACTCCCATATTAAGCTATCCTGACTTCCATAAACCCAGAGACTCCAGTACCCCTTAATTAGGGAATATTCCATAAATCATATTTAGGATCCTACGATAATTTAAGGTATATTCCTTAATTAAGGGATATTGGAGTCTCTGGGAAGGAGCCCTCTCCGTGGCCAAGATACCATCGCATTCTCAGCTGCTGCTCCCGGTCTTGCAGTGCCTGCACGAAGTTCCGCGCTGCCAGAAGAGAAACCTCACCGTTTAGGGCTTAGGGCTTATAGAGCTTAGGGGTTGGTGTTTGGAGTTTAGGGGTTTAGGGTGTAGGGTTTGGGGGCTTATAGAGTTTAGAGGTTCAGGGTTCAGGGGCTCAGCGTTTACGGTTTATAGAGTTTTGGGGTTTAGGGTTTAGGGTTTCCCAGTTAAGCCTTTGCTTCAAGAGCACCCGCAGATTGGCATGCACCCGAAACCCTAAGCTCTGAACAGAAAGATAGGGTTTAGGGTTTAGGGTTTAGGGTTTAGGGTTTAGGGTTTAGGGTTTAGGGTTTAGGGTTTAGGGGTTTAGGGTTTAGGGTTTAGGGTTTAGGGTTTAGGGTTTAGGGTTTAGGGTTCCGAAGGCCATGCATTGACATGATCCTAAACTTCCCCAGACCCTCAACCCCCTTCATCGCAAAAACCGAAAAAGCCGGAACCCACACAGCCGTCCTTGGTGCCATGCTTCTGCCAGGAACACTGCATGCGGCAATGAAAGGTGCACTTAAGGTCTTCTCTCAGCCATTCTAGCGGAATCTAAGATCTCTTCGCCTGCCAGGAGGCCAAGTGCCGCGGAAGGAAGTTCAAGAGCACGGAGACCAGGGAAATGGAGACGATCCACACTAGCGAGTTCTGCTGCACGGGGCAGGCCGCTGCATTTCGGGCCGCAACCGCCGAACCGTCAACTGAGAAGAAAACGGCCGCAAAGGCCAAGGACCCGAAAAGACAGTCCATTGTGATCTTGGCCCGCTTGGCCGCAGTGGTGTGGAGGTCGACCAGCAAAATCTCATAGACCGGGTGAAGTGCCAGGAAAGTGGACCGGAATCGATGGCTCCAGGAAGCATGCACCGCAACGAAATCATGCGGCAAGCTCTCTTCCATTTCCATCACCAGCTCCTATACTGAACTTAGAACCCTAGCAAAAATTATACATTTCGCTGTTTCTTAGGGATTATAATAACCAAAAATTCAATTATTATTTCCAAGTACCCCTACGGTTCCTTGAGTTGTGGAGACTGCTGCACGGCCAGGCTTCCCTGGATCCATCCCTGCAGGCCCCAGATGTGTGCACGGATAGATGTTCGGTGCAAGCCCGTGTGTCTTGCTGCTTCGGCGAGGGTGTTCTCGCACATGATGTTTTCCTGGAGCTTCTGTGGCGTGCCCGGCTTCAGCTTCATGACACGCTCGTTCAGCGTCTGTTGCTTCGCCGCCGCAGCATCAGTCGGAGTCGGCGCTGTGGTCTGCGTAACGCGGGGTGCAGAGGGATGGCACAACACGCGGCAGAGCCGACACCACCGCGAGGGATCCGCAACGGGAGGCACATCCGTGAGGAAGTACTCGTCCCGCCAGATGCCTAGCCAAGTCACACCCTTCAAGCACCAGATTTATGGCTGAATTCACGGCACATGCTATGATGTGGAGACCAGAACGCACATTGGACGATACCCACTATCAGCAAGGTGAACGTCACTTCTAACGGCCCCAGACAGACAGAAGCCATGGGCCCTAGCATCACTACAGCAGCAAAACACTGGCACATACTGGCACACACTGGCACGCACACAGATCCCTTTCCCCTCGTGATCAAGAAACAGACCGAAAGCATGCACACCAAGAACATGCACCACACGGGCAAGCAACCCAAATCTCAACCCTGCGATCCAGGATCTTGCCTGACTTGCGTATCTGTCCATCTTGTCTTGCACCGAGGCCCAACAGCAGCAACAAGGCACCTTCACAAGACAGTGACGCTACTCAGGCCTACGGTGCACACGGTTGATCAGCTGACCGGGCACAATACAACGCAAGCACAGCCCAGGCCCAATATTGAACGACCTTCTGGGCACCAAAAAGCCCCATTTCCTGACCTTGAGCCCTCGAATTTTCGCAAGGAAAAAGACTCCGCACCCGTGCAGCAGAAGATGGCACAAGAAAGAGGTTCGCACCACGCTCCAAACCATGACAGCCCAGGGACCCAAGAGGGCCCACAAAGATGCCGCCGGCCATCGATTCCACCAATTCGGCCTCTCCACGATGTTTCGCAAGAGCTCCTGAGCATCCAAGTATTATTATTAGTATTATTATTATTGTTATTATTATTACTATTATTACTATTATTATGATTATCATCACCCGGCATGCCATAGCGGCTTTCTCATGACGAAGACTTTATGCCGCCACTTGCCGCTTTGTGCTGACCACGCCTACTGCAACACTTCACGGACGGGTAGCGTCTCACGCTTCAACTTACTTCCCTTCCCTGGTGATGTCCCGAACTGTCCCCAGCAGAAAGATGTCCGGACAGTCTCCGGGACATCTTCTCGAGCCCACAGAGCGTTTGACATTGCTAGCGATGACGTGAAGAGAGTGCCGCTCAAGACTTGCTTTACATCACGCCGACCAACCGACTTCTCGAAAATGACGGATGTCTCCTCGGACAGGACGTTCAAGTTCGTGCAATCGAGAAGAATATCAATGATGGAGAACATAGTGAGGTGGTTGGTGACACACCAGGTGCCCGTGGTGTTCGCCGACCTTGATTGCCAAGTTCATCAAAGGCTGGAACCCTAGACCTTAAACCCTAAAACCCTGAGGCAGCACCGACTCCGTCTTGATAATCAGCCGGCCGTCTTTGAATGCTACTACATCCGGATTACGGAGGAGCAGTGTTGCTTTTCTGTTGTGCTTCATTTTATGCTGCAAGCTTTCCAGACTTGAAAGGTCAAAGTGGTGTACTGCGACCTGACTGTGCTCCCACTTTTGCTAAGCCAAGCTGTCGTCAACTTCAAGAATACTTATCGCATACACATTGTTCTTGTTCTTCTTGCTATGAAAACCATTACTTGAACTATAGTGGTGACTCCAACTTCTGACCATCAGTATTGCCAGTATCAGTGGTGTCATTATGGTCCTTGCTTCATCCAACTACAGTAGTCTTCCGGCCAAAATCTTGGGTCTTCGTATAAAAGACTGGTTGTGCCGTTTGCAAGAATGTTAATAATGCAGTTGATATTCATAGGTGTTGACCGTTGCTCATTGCGGTGTTCGTCCTTCTGATGTCTGCTTACCATGCTACTCTCAGCAGCACTGTGGAGTTTTCTCCTAACGGTGTGCATCTTTTTGCATGTGTTTCGTCATGGTGACTTCCGGGTTTCGGTATTCGAAAGATCTTGTCTTGATGCAGACCTAAACCCTAAACCCTAATTCCTTCCCATCATTGGCCTGTCGCTGCTTGCACACATCGCACACTCCTTTTCTCTGGCCAGGCTGTGTCAACCGTAAGCTCTAAGAAAACAGACTACCGCCGATGCCGAGCGAAAAGGACAGCATCCGGTTGCCCTCAAAGGCGAAGCACAAGAGAGGCGTCTGTGCGAAGGCATTGGCAATGATGGTGCAGAGATGTAATCCTGCACGTCTCAACCTTACTGTGGCGGAGGGGTGGTGGCGGAAAACCTTGAGAAGAGAGCAGCGAAAGGCCTGCCAGTCGTGACTGTTCACAGCGGACCGTCTCACCTCGGCAGCATGGAGTCAGGAATGAGGGGGACACTCCTTCCCATCATTGGCCTGTCGCTGCTTGCACACATCGCACACTCCTTTTCTCTGGCCAGGCTGTGTCAACCGTAAGCTCTAAGAAAACAGACTACCGCCGATGCCGAGCGAAAAGGACAGCATCCGGTTGCCCTCAAAGGCGAAGCACAAGAGAGGCGTCTGTGCGAAGGCATTGGCAATGATGGTGCAGAGATGTAATCCTGCACGTCTCAACCTTACTGTTCCCTACCAACCCCACCCGCTGGCTGTCCACGACGGAGGTTCCACACGAGCAGCACGACCGTTAGGAGGTCAAAGGGGCGGGCCGGGAGGGTACTTGCCGGCGCCAGCTCCGGAGGTGGCGGAGGAGCTGGATGGCTTGTCAAGTACAACGGGGCCGCTGGTTGCTGCCGCACTCCTAGTTGCTGTGACAACCAAGTGATGAGATTTTCTTCGATCTCGTTGGCGGCCCCCATTATTTGCTGCACAAGCTCGCGGCAGACGTGGGTAAGAAGAGCAACTGTACCTCGGATGAACAGCTTGACCAAAAGGGCCAAGCACAAAGCCACAAGTCGGGGGAACATCAGGATGAAGAGGATGGCCAGCCCTGTCTTCCATCTACAGGACACCAGCCAGCGAAGCCAAGCGATCACGATGGGCTGCGGTGCAGACTGCGGTCCTCTGTGTGCCTGAACCGGCCTTGGCCGTGCAGGCGTCAAAGTCGAGGGTGAAGGTGTAGCCGCCGTCCTGGTAGGCGCGGATACCCACGCCCTCAGAGAAGTAGTGAGGCGCGCCAGCGCCGCTGTAAGCTGACGGGGGGCCGTTCCCGCCCGCCAGCGCGAAGCACTCTCCAGCGCCTGTGGGTCTGTCAGCACTTCCTGCGCCGTTCTTCCGTTGTCAACCTCGGCATCTCCCAGCTGAGCAGCTGCACTGTGTACCGCCGCGAGGAGAGACTGAGCAACTTCCGCCGTTTCTTCTACAGCTTCAGCTCCGGGAGCGGCTGGTCGGGGTAGTACTGGTGCCAAAGGTCTTCTGCTGCTTGGAGCGACGGCACCCGACGAAGGCGGGCGGCTGAGGTGGAGAGTTTGCCGCTTGGAAGGTTTCGCTCCACTAGCGGCCACGTGGAGGCCGCCGGGCCCCGGATCATTCCGACCATCCATGGTTTCCGAGGGTTTGAAAGAATCACGTAGATCCTCTCGTCCGTGTGGTAGGTGACGGAGGTCGCGGTGGTGTCCCGGGGCTTGTTGTTCGAAGTGGAACTGGGCAACGAAGAAGAAACACAGGCGGTTGGTGTTGAAGTTGAAGACGACGGCCGCACCGCCCCCGAAACCCTGGTCGCCTCCGCCCGGGCGCGAGGACCTGTTGACCCCGGCACACCAGCACGAGGACGCACCGTCTCTTGAGTCCGGGGTGGCTTCGGTTGGTCCACTAACTCCCAACCTTCCTCGTCCAAAGCGTCAGCTAACTCCCGGAGGGCCCGAGACACTCGATCGGACATGGCACCTAACAATCTAGCAATTCAGCCAAAGACATCGGCGGCGGGTTTTTGAGCAGCGGCCAGTCGTTGTTGACGGCAATGACATTGGCCCTTGCCGTCGCTGAGGCCGACGCCGAAACCTGTGCACAAAAGGCCTCCTGCAAATAGGACTTCAATGTTTCTTGCCGCGCCCACCTGCCGTGGTACTGCAGCTGAGCTAAGTGCATGGATTGCTGGAACATGTAGGTTGCCCCTCCACCCCGAAATGAGCTGAGGGTGTATCCACGATCCCGTAGTCCAAGCTCTTCGAGAGCTGCTGCCACGCACTTTGCCCACTCCCGGCGACCGATGGGGAACAAGCTCCTATGAGCTCGCCGTCCGACCGCCCACCACCGCATCCAGGATATCAATGCGTGTGATTTCACTAGCACAAACTGCGACCTCCATACTCGCCGCGTCTTCGGCTTCCTAATGGTGATCACCATCCCCTCCTCGTTGCTGAGAGGCTGGCCGAGATCGGGGATCAGGAGGTCCTCCACTTTCAATTTATGGCATTCCCCTGGTCGGAGCAAAGCATCAAACGCCAACCACGATGCTAGGAAAGCTGCGATCCACCTTTCCCGTTCCCGGCCACCAAAACGTAGGCTCCTAGCAAACATCACCACCAGCAGTGCCGTGAAGACCGAAAATGCGATAGGCACCCGCGTGCGCACGGGAGTCAATGTCCTCCACGCCCTTATCGCGGCCCAAGTATGCCGCAACAATGGCCCTGAAATCTGCAGCTGCCTCTGGATTCCAAGGATGCCGAGCGTGACACGATATAGTCTCTCTCCCGCTTGAAAGCACCAATCAACTACTTCCTCTAAGGCCGCATCCACCGTTCTTGACGATGAGCGGCGAGTCAAAGGCCTCCCCAAACGATCAGCTATTTCGAGGATCCACACCGCCGCTGATCGGAGGCCTCGCCGGTATTCAGCAGTGAGAGCCGCGTCGCGCAGCCGAGGTACTCGTTTTCCACCTCGCCAGCGCATCGGCCAACTGCTCACAGAATCCAGGAGGGTAGTCCAAAGGTTGCATAGCCCGAGTCACCCGCAGTGACGACCCACGCCAATGATCGCCGGGACACCGATGTACAACCTCCTTGAGCCACGGGGCGTTGGAGAGGAGCCGGGTTCTCTGTCGTGGGACACTGGCTGCATTTCCAGATTCACGGTATGCGCACAAATCAACCCGGTGCAACTTCAACCCCCACTTCTGCATCAGCAACTGGGTTTCCCGCAGCCGCCAAGCCCGACTAGTAGCCGGGTGTTCCACCACCACATAGCATCCAACCTGCAAGGCGGCATCAACAAGAGACAAAGTCCTTCTCCAGATGAGGTTCTCGGCCGCAACCTCGGGTTGTGCCTCATCCCCCTCTGGATAGCCCTTCGGCCTGAGTGGACCATTCCGGTCAAGGCTCCGAAGTGCCGAGAAAGTTTTGCGAGGCGGTGCAAACCAAGCCCAAGACAACCTTCCACTGGAGACCACGGCCTCAATGACTGGAAACATCAGCTCTAGACCCTCATCCAATGCTACAGGCGACCCCATGATAAAGCCACGATCACGATGAGCCCGTGTTAACTCACCACCGTGGATCCCCACCTCGAGGCCTGCGCATTCGACAATGCCGGTGATTCCGAAGTCCTGCAGCCACCTGGGCGCCGGCAACGGAGGAGGAAGGTCCTCACCCCGTGATGGCTGGTCCGCCCTATTCGATGATGTCTCAATCCAAATAAGACCGACCCCCAAGTTGGCAAGGACCAAGTGCGGGACCAGACCACGGAGGATGCCATTCAGCCGATAACTTGATGACCGACCCTTGGTGAAGGCACCGACGACAACATTCGAATCGTTGAGGCATACGACAAGAGAATTTCGCCACGATGGGTCCGCGGCTAACTTGATCAGCTCCCGCCGTAGTGCCCGAGCCTCCTGAAGATTGATATGCGAGGTTTGCCTAAACGTGTAACCGCTGATGATGCGCCAATGCACGCACTCTGCGACCACACTGCCGAACTTTGAAGGCTCCTCGGGGACCGTAGCGTCGAGCTGAAGATCTCGTTCACGATCCAACCGCACGGCCTGGCCCCGGAGTTCAGTCCTACGCCAAAGTTCTGAAGCTAACTCAACCGGCACATCCGCCATGACAGCGCCTCCAGTCGTGGGCGTTGCATCCGTCGCCAACACTTGCCTTTGCAGACGTCGCCTCATCGAGCATTTCGCGAATGGTAGGTGAAGGGCACAACTGCGTAGCTCGTCTTGTATGTGCTTCGGGATGGGGATCCAACGCTTCTGGGGCATGCGGTCGATGTACTTATAGAGATGGTGCATGAGCGAATAGAGTTCCCGCCGATACTGAAAAGCAAAAGCTAGGTATCCAACGATCTTCCGGAGCACTTCCTTCGAGGCGAATCCTCCGGACACTAACTTCTCCAGCAGCACCCACAACTGTTGCCGAACATCAAGTGGGGCTCCGACCGTGCCGCGGATTCCGTCCACCTGTGCTCCCCATGCCTTAAACAAAGTCTGCGCCCGGAATGCCTTGTGAACAGCCCTCTCAAGACCGGCCTCTAGGTATGCCAACTCCGCCTTCTGCATCTGCTGCATATCCGCGTCGGTGACCTGAGCTTCTGGAGGAATGAACGTGCCATCTACGGGGATCTCATACGGCATGGTGCACTTCTGGGTTACCAACAAGTCATCCAAATACACTCCTTCCCAAAGGTCACCTCCGGGTACATGCTGGCCGTATACCAACTGCGTCGATGCATCAAGAACTCCGTGCCTCCTCAACACCGCCTCGTGAGTCGCCTGTGCGATACAGCATCCGTTCTTATCACCCATCCCCAGGACCCTGAAACATAACCGATAGTCCACTGCAGGGTCGCCCCCATGATCACGCACGACATCTGGATGAACACGACGGCCTACTGAATTATATCGCACCCAACCTTCAGGTAGTCGAAGAGAGTAATAGTAGTTCCGCAAATCATCACCTGAACCACGCAAATACTGGTTGGGCTCTAAAAGCAGTCTGGTAAAACAGGCACCTGATGGCAAAGTTGCCCACCGCAATCGGGGCATGGTTGCATTCTCTGGCCTCCGATCATAGATGAGCCTGTCCTCTTGTTGGTTCTTGGCTACACAAAACAGTCCACCGCCTAGCAGCTTTCCACACTGGTCCCGGGGCAAATCGGCCTCAGGAACGAGAGCAGCCATGCCAGTTTCAAGCATCCGCCTAGCAAGAGCCGGCTCCTCCTCCGGTGCAACCCGGTGGCAAGCCACCACAACATCCTCCCAAAGGGGCTCGGGGAGCCGCAACTTCTCTAGGTTATTCACCACCGCCGCACGATCGGCCGCCAACCAATCACACGGATCCACCTGCCCCGCCCTCGCGGGAATCGCCAAGCGCTCCGCCACCACCGGCAACGCCGTCGATGGCAACCCACCGTCCGTGGGCTCGATCACATAGCTTGCACCCGCCCTCCCCGCTACTTGATCCAGCAACTGTTGCACAGAAGCCCGCTTGCCCTCGCAACCGAGCTCACCCAAAACAAGCTCCAGGGAGACGAATTCGCGCATCTCGCCGAGCAGCTCATCGCTGAAGGCACGGATGGCCTCCACACACCGATGTCCCACTCGCGGCTCAAAAGCACTGCCATCGGAACCTGGGCACCCAAGAGTCACAAAGTTACCCCAGGCGATAAACGCATTGAGGAACGCCTTGCTCCACCAAGTGACCACCTGATCCGAACCCACCTCCGCGCCAGCAGGCAGGAGAGCTTCGGGATAGGGCAGCATGCTCGGAAATAATGCTGTAACATCGCTGGACAGCTCCAGCCGAGTACCTTGGACACGTTCAAACCAGGCCAAATAACTAAGGAACTTCGAATTTGAATTATAGCCCACAAGCGCTGGATGTTTCACATGCTGGCCCGTGGGAGCGTGCACGACATAGGACTGATTCACTTCTTGTGAGAGGAGCTGGCGGGCTCCTCGGTCTCCTCTTCGGCCTGGGCTCGGTTGTGATTCTCTCGCACTCGCTTCTGGAGCTTGCTCAATGATTCGACGTAGCCCGATACAATCGCCATCTCTTCCCGAGATCCTGCGAACTCCCTGCGGCTGCAGGGGTCTGGCAATCCCGTCAACAACCAGGCAGTTGCCCAGTCTCCTCCCTGGAGTACGCTCTGCACGACCTGAGCAGCCGCCACCTGTGGTTCGTTCGCCCGCAGGCTTTCGTAAACCGCCACATCCATCATGGCACATCTGTAGATCCCCTTGAACTTTCCCCACTGCTGCTTTCGAACGTAATCCCGAAGAGTCCAAGCTTGGCCCTTTACAATCCCCAGCTCCTCTATGACCTCCTTCTCGAAGAGGTCGCAAATGCGCCTGGGTCGCCGATGGATCTGCTCGTGCAACCTGTTCAGCTGCGATACGGCCTTCATCCCTTTTCCCTGCAAGTCGTCGTCGCTGTCCGTGTCTTCGGAGTCGGAGCCACCAAGGATAGAGCGGCCGCTTCTGTCCTTCTTCTTCTTTTTGTTCTTCTTCTGGTCCATCAGCATCGCCATCATCATGAGGGGCACTAGCTCGTTCGGGGATTGCCCTGCTGCCAAGCTCTGCTGGAGGATCTGGTTCATGTCCAGCTCGCCCTTCACCGCCTTGCCTTCCGCCTTGGCCTTGGTCTTCTTGACCCGCCCTCCGGGCGGCAGGAAGTCCATCTTTCGCCGATCCGTGGATGCCTCGTCGTCCTCTGTGTCCTCGTCCTCCTCGTCCGAGTCGTCGCCGGCCCGGGTCTGGGTGTACAAGGCCCGAAGGCCCTTCAAGTCCCCTGCTAGACCCTTTGACCGTGGGGCTGGGATCTTGGTTGGGGCTTCGGCTTCGCTGCTGGCAAGGTCCTTCTTTCCTACCTTCTTCCATGCGCGTTCACAAGTGGCACAGCTTGGCAAGTCTTTAGGCCTACGACCTTTCCAGTCAGCAGGCGCACTAAGGCCCACAGCAGACCAAGCCACTCTCACGAAGCCCACCTGATTCTCCCCAATGGTCTTATGAGATAGGGCCGCGAGGTCTTCCGAAGTCGTCGCCAAAACCACGTCGTCACCATCTACCTCCACGGCCCATCCACACACGGATTTTGTCCCGGTCTCGGACACCAGCAGACAATACAAGAGATCCCCAGCTTCGGCCATGGCGAAGCGAACCCTCCTATCAAAACCTTGAGAAGAGAGCAGCGAAAGGCCTGCCAGTCGTGACTGTTCACAGCGGACCGTCTCACCTCGGCAGCATGGAGTCAGGAATGAGGGGGACAACCACGGAAGACCTGCCAGCGAGAACGGGACGGACCCGAAGACCTCGAGATGGACACCGTGGCGCGTTCAGATTCCGGATCTCCGATTCACAAATCCGACGGCCCTGCAACCCTGAAGCCCAAAACCCACAACCCCGAAATTTTGGAAAAAAACCCTGCTTCCGGCGGTCAATCTCGTATGTGCAGAGCCATCGGAAGTAGCGAAAGCCAAAACTGTCCGAGGCGCGACTGCAAGGCCGCCAGCTCTTCCTGGGAAGCGATCCTCCCAGATTCACGGTTCGGGGTCGGGGGGGGGGAGGGGGTGGGGGGGGTTAGGGCTTGAAGGGTTTGAAGAGCTTGAAGGGTTTGAGGGTTTGAAGGGTTTGAGAGTTTGAAGCGTTTAAGGGTTTGAGGGTTGGGGGCTTGGGGGTTTGACGGTTAAGGGGTTTAAGCTTGTGCTGGTGTTGAGAACTCTCATGCAGAGATTATTTGAACAAAGAATTCGGAATCAGGGATAAACCACTCGTGCGTAAACAATGCGTGCATCAGTAAATCATGTCAACATACCTGGACTAATGAAGGAAACTGCAGCATCCTTCAACTGCTCAGTTCTTGTGTCTTGCAAACTGCGAAGACAGACCCGCGGCCTCACACCCTGAGTAGACCATTCATCACCGTCGAGGTAAGCCTGAATCCACAGCACATCCAGCACTGTGTATGTTATATATACATATATATATATATATATACCATATATATATATATATATATATATGTATATATGCCTGCAAATTCTTCAAAAAGATTCTGGTGATCCTCACAGAAGAATCCCAAATCGTATCTTCACTGACGTATAACATGTCTTAATGTTCCCGCTATGTGCAGTCGTGCGTGCCCTTGGTGGCTAAGCTACGCACGCCGAGCTGAAACAGAAGTCCAGAGCTGCCACTAGCTGATAAAACGACAGCCGCCAGGACCCTCCATTCTGGCTCGTCACTACCCCGGACGAGTGACACAATCTTCTCTGTTGCACGGCGCCTGCGATGCGCACACGAGACCTGTTGTTTGAGCCAGGCAACACACACCCAGGTTTGCTGCGGGGACACGTCGGTCATGCGGATGTAAATCCTTAACCGCTCTGGTCCAGACCACTGTGTCCACCACACCCTACGCTGTACCACATGACAAGTTCCAAAAGGAGCCCTGATCCCACTCACAAAGCTGAAGGGCATCAAGCCACGCCTGGAAATGGACATTGGGTGATGTTTACCCGCATTATCTGGTGGGATAAACGAGAGAGGTACCAATGCAGAGGCAGCGTCAGTGAACCGTTGAGATCGCCGCCTACCTGTTGCAGCAGGGCCCTACACGAAAGTTCAGAGGGAGTCACAAGCAAGACCAGCCTTAACGTGCAGATTCTGGCATGAAGCAACTTACTTGCTGATGCATCTTCAATTCCTAGACCCTCCTTCTACCCTCTATTGGACGCTAAATACCTACTATTAGGGACCATATACCCCCAATTTGAGGCTGCTAGGAGGGTCCTGGTTAGCAAGCCTCCGGCGGCATCGATGGAGAGCTGAGCCGTTCAAAGCAGTAGCAGCAGTAGCTCGATACCGAGGGTTTAGGGTTTAGGGTTTAGGGGTTTAGGGCTTAGGGAAAAAATTGGAGAAATCTCCAGTCTCAACATCTAGTTCGGATCGCTGGCCTCCTCTACAGCTCGTGGACCCTAAACTGAGCTTCCTAAACACTGAGACACACAGCCTGAACCGTATGTTGTCGTCGTGTCTTCTGAGCTGAGGCGCAGAGCCGGCGACGCTGGAGTGAAGCGTGACGTCCACAGGAGCCACCACGTGCTCACCGCTGCCAACTCCTCTCACAACCGCCTGCGGTGGGGGTTTAAACCGTAAACATTCCACCCCGAGTGCTTGAAACTGCAAAATCCCCCAAGCCCCCGTAGGTGCGAGATGGCCTCAACATGCTGGCCGCAGCAATCTCCAACGCAAAGCCCCTAAACCGCCACGCCCTGCTCTGATCTTCCTAAAGCCCCAGCGCGGGTGGGTGCCGGCCTCCAGGCCTTCGTACAAGAACGGATTGGGTTCCGGTCCTGAACTTCTTGGATTCGGTGTCTTCGGATATGTCCGGGGAGCGGTCATTTGCCCATACTCAGCGAAGCACCAGGTTTCCCAGACCCCCGGATCAAGAAAGTAGGTCCCCTAATTTGGGGCCCTATACTACGAAGGGTACTTTAGAGGAACCCCCAAATATTTCCAGGAACTGAGCCCGTTTTCCCATGCGATGGCCAAAACAAGATCCCGATCGTGAGATCCGAAGCCGGGGCGCCAGCTTCAAGGCGACGTTTGGGTTCAAGGTTTAGGGTTTATAGGGGTTTAGGGTTTTGGGTTTTGGGTTGAGGGTTTAGGGTTTTGGGTTTAGGGTTTTGGGTTTTGGGTTGAGGGTTTAGGGTCTTGGGTGTGTGGGGGGTTGGGGGGTTTTGAAGGATTTTGGGGGTAGAGCTTGACGCTTGAGGGTGGCGGGCACCCAGACTCACTCAAGGATATGGTCGCCAATTTGCAAGCAAGCGTCCTTGCATCGCCTTAGTTTGCCATCAGGTTGGATTGGGACAGAAGCTGAGTCTAATTCCGGCTATAGGCCATCTCAAATCAGGGAAGATAGACACCAAAATGTCGCCCGGGTCATTCTTGAGCCCGTGCATTCACGGGACTTACTCCTAACTTCACAGCAATAGCAACCTTGTTATCGTAACCTTATAAGTTGATTTAACATGCTGGCAACAGCGAAAACAGTTCGTGCAAGACTTACCTTTGGTTAGTAGAGAAGGGAAGAATGGTAGTAATAGTAGTAATAATTGTACCCCATTCCTCCATTCACTACTAACCAAATGTAAGTAAACCCTAAACCCTAAACTCCATAGATCCCCTTAAGGAACCCTATAGATCCCTTTCAGGAAAGAAGAAGGGCAAGCCAAGAGGCGCTCAGAACCAGCACGAGGTCTTCGTTGCCGACCTCTCCAAGACATAGACGCAACATACAATGCATGCATGCACAGGTACATAAACTGCATCCATCCATGCATGCACATACATATATACTTACATATGGTATACAGACGCAACTAGAACAGGAATCCATCCATCCATCCATCTCTCCATCCTGCCATCCATCTAACCATCAATCCATCCTACCATCCATCCACCCATCCATCCACCCATGCATCCTTCCATGAGTACATCAATGTTTACAGTGTGTATGTATGCATGCGTGTATGTGTATGCTGCATGGATAGTAAAAAAACAGATATAGACATGATATGTAAATGTAAGTGTGTATATGTACCCATACATGGCAAAGACCTTTATGAAGTGTTCGACGCTACTTTATATACAAGTTTAGGTATGAACATATACTTGTACACTACATGTATAGACAGATCTAAATAAGCGGTACCTGCAAATGCCTTGTCATGTGTTCGTGTGCTCGTGTGAATGTCTGTATATTTACATATGATACATAAACATATGTACATATGTATGTATGCATGTATGTGTATATGTACATATATGTACATATGTATACATGTGTGCATTGTACCTCTATGTCAGTGCAGTGTTGTTGGGAGCTTTTGCAAGGTAGCCAGTACTCGGGGCTTTGATTTCAAGAACAGGGCTTCAGACCATGCATCTCGAACACAGCTGTGAGCCGTAGCCTAGGGTGGATGATAAATACACTGCATTTCTCTAATAGAAGGACCGTGAACTATGGGAAATATGGTATATGTTGCTTATTATGGGTAATGCAGGATTCATATCACGAACCCTAAACCCTAAACCCTAAACCCTGAAACCCTGTAGATCCCTTTCAAGGAACCCCTTAAAGGTACCCTTCAGCCCTAGCAGAGCCAGGCCTCCACTTGCAGAGCGACGGTGTGAGGGCCCTCCACGAAGATGTGCCAGCCGAACTCCGAGAGGGGGTGGATCCTGACTTGGCCAAGAGGGCTTAGGTTTAGGATCATTGCAGTACCCCCGTGTCGCGTTGGGGTTTGTGGTTCTTCCACCATCATTGCATCAGCATCCGTCTTTTCGGGCTTGTTTCTACAAGGTTTGTGCACGAAGCTGCAGAAGCACCCCTGCTATCCCCCGGTCCTGAAAGCCGTCGCCTCTGCCCAATCCAGCGAAGAGCTGGTAGTGTTGCGGACGTGGCCTTACCGTGGCTTCAGGCGCGCACCACATTCGCATCCAAAGAACTACAGTGGATGGGTAGGGCCGGGTAGGTTGCACGTGCCCGACGTATTGGAGGAAAGCACACGGACATCAAGCTAAGAGGTATCAGAGAAACGCGAGAGCCCAACCAATCGCCGCGGCGAGGAGTGGAGTTTAGGCTTCGGTTTGCAGAGCTTTTTTCCCTAAACTCCAACTCAATTCCCGTCCCAGAAACTGGCCATAAACGCAACGTTGGACTCGACAACCGCCAGCATGGCATCCAAACTTCCTGCACAGACTTACCTTTGGTTAGTAGGGAATGGAAGAATGATAGTAACAGTAGTTATAATTATACTCCATTCCTCCATCTCCTACTAACCAAAGGTAAGCAGAACAGTGATGGTGGAGCACCACGAGAACTCAGGGTGTCACACGCCTTCACTCCGCGCCTCTCTCAGAGCAAACCTTGAACGAAGCAAAGCCCCCCAGGCCTGGAAGGGTGGCAGCGTTCTGCGTTGATGCGGATACGCGTGAGGATGAGATACTGCTGCTGGTGCTGGAGGAGGATGTCCGCGACGTAGTGGTGGAGGCTATGCTGCTTGACGTGGAAGTGCCGGTCATAGTCAATGAGAAGGAAGTTGAGGTGGTGGAGGAGGCTGTGTTGCTCGACGTTGAGGTGCTGGTCACAGTTGTTGACGTTGAGGTGCTGGTCACTGTTGTTGAAAAGGAAACTGAAGAGGTGGTGGAGGCCGTGCTGCTCGTCGTTGAAGTCTCGCTCATGGTTCTCGATGTGGAGGAGGATATGCTGTTTGACGTGGTCATAGTGGTACGTGCCTGGGAAGTCAAGACGTGACCTCCTATGGCCTCCTACTTAGTGTGAGGATTTGCAAGCTTCGGGAAAATACATGATGGTTCCACCAAGAACTGTCAATGGCAATTGAGCCCAGCACGCCCAACACGAACGGTTCGAAGGATGTAGACCAGCTCACAATCGAGCCGTCGGCCCTCACGGCCGCAAAGCCGCCCTGAGACGAGAAGATGTCAATGACGTTTACTAGCTCGCCGCTGCTTATGACCATGTCTTGTTGATAATGCGTGTATCCCCAAAGCACGACTGTGCCATCCGGCTTCCTGGCAGCGAAGCCAATCGCCGTTGAATACAGAGCTTCCACGTTTGTCAGTTGTGCAGCGACATCGCTCGAATTTCCGCCGTACTCACCGTCGCCCCAAGTCACGACGGTTCCGTCGGTCTTGAGAGCAGCAAAGGCATAGTAGGTCGAATAGACCATTTGCACGTCGGTTATTTGAGAAGTGAAATTCCTGACGTCTCCGCGGAGGCCAAACTCTCCCCACGACACGACCGTACCATCCGTCCTCTTGGCGGTGAAAGAGGCCTGGTTTGGATAGATCACGTCCACGTTTGTCAGTTGGGCACTCACGCTGCCGGAGTCAGCCCCATACTGCGAGTGCCCCCAAGTCACGACTGTGCCATCGGCTTTCTTGGCAGCGAAGGCTCCCTGGGTTGCATAGATGACTTCCACGCCTGTCAGTTGGGCACTGACACTGCTGGAGTCTCCACCAAAACCCGGAAGCCCCCACGTCACGACGGTTCCGTCCGTCTTTCTGGCGGCGAAAGCGCCCTCGTTGGTCGAATAGATCACGTCCACGTTTGTCAGTTGGGCACTGACGCTGCTGGAGTCTCCACCAAAGGCTGCACTGCCCCAAGTCACGACTGTGCCGTCCGTCTTTTTGGCGGCGAAAGCATACATATTCGAATAGATCACTTGCACGTTTGTCAGTTGGGCACTCACGCTGCTGGAGTCTCCACCTCTATACCCAGTCCCCCAGGTTACGACCGTGCCATCTGATTTCTTGGCAGCGAAAGCTGAATAGCTTTCATAGACGACGTCAACGTTTGTCAGTTGACTACTGACGCTGCTAGAGTCTCCACCACAGGTCGCACATCCCCAAGTCACGATTGTGCCGTCCGTCTTTTTGGCGGCGAAGGCCTGGCTGCGTCCATAGATCACTTCCACATCTATCAGTTGAGAAGCAACACCGCTGGAGTCGCCGCCACCATACTCATCCCCCCAAGTGTCCACCATCCCGTTCGTCACCCGGGCAAATGCATATGAATTTGCATAGACAGTGCTGTTTTGGGAAGCTTTGCTAAGGGTTACATGATGCGCAGCTAGCACGGCGATGAAAGCAAGGACAGCGGCACAAGCCACCATTGCAGCGACGACCGACCAACGAAACAAAAAACTTACTGCCGGATATGACCTTTCAAGTATCATAATTCGATTGGTAAAAGTTGGAATCCGAAACCCACACTTGCTTTTCCAAACTTCTTGCTTCTGGATACTTCAAGTGTCCGTCCTAACCTGTGCAAAAATCTTCAACACTCAACTCTTTCGTGCATTACATGATACATGTCTGTTACATGGCCAATCATGCTGCGACCCTCTTTAAAATGGACAAATCAAGCAATGCATTCTGATTTGAGCCGAACCTCCCTGGACAGCTTTGCGGCTTGATTCTCCGTCTGACTTTGTCAAATTCTTGTACAAACACACAAAACGGTGGCTGAGAACCCGCAATTGCCCGTTGCCCGTACTACCCCACCAATGTTGCTACGACGCTCTTGTCACGTCTGTTTGTGTTTGCCTCTCAGCATGCCCAAGAACTTGCAAGGTTGCACCCGACAGAACTCGGATTTAACACACATCAATTTGACATTGATGTGCTCGTTGAGGCAGCAATACACGATGCAAGAGTTCGAAGCAAGTGTGCGATGCTGCAACACATGTGTCACACTGGAATGCCAATTAGTTCGGAGGAGAATGAACTTCGAAGAACAATAGAGAAAACACATAACACGCACTCACGCACATCCAGAAAGATACAGTTTGGGCCGTCAACATTGCGGAAAAAAGCCTTGTGTGTCGAACCCGGGGTGAAGCTTCTGCATGCTGCATGGTCTTGCACAGAGATCCGTTCGGTTGTAGCACAGCACGTGTGACCATTTCTGGCCACACACACACACACGAACTTTCGCTTCCAAACACTGCCGCAAATCAACTCAGCCATCCAATGGCCAGTCTTGGGATCCGCTCACTTGTGAGAGTCACTGTCTCTGCCCAAAATGAGCAGGCAAGCAGTAAAAGCTCTGCTTTCACAGTTTTTTTGTGCATTTAAAGAGAAAGCAACAGGATCCGGCTCGAACTTCTGGAAGTTTTTTGGCGTCGGCGGGCCTCGGTGGCTGCAACTGCAGCGCTCGGTCCCATTAAACATCACAAACCAAACACACACAAGGACAATGGTGAAACAAGAATCTAACGAGCGAAACTACGTACAAGCTGCAGCGTGCGGACTTGGTCAGCAAGAGCTGTTCAGCCAGCGACTTCAAGCTAAACAAACAGCGGACCGTCATCCGAAGTCGCCTAAGACAACGAGTGGTGCCCAAGTCAAGGCACCGGCCGCCGTTCTAGTTCCGCCGGATAACGGACAACCCCTGTGTCTTGTTTTTTGGCGAGTCGTGCACACCAAATTCCAAAATCCAAAGGGCAATGGTGGCAGAAGGGGGAAAACGTATGACATCTTCCCACAGTGGCAGTGATGCGTGCCTGCGCAAGGCGCAGTGTAGGCTCCCAGTGCTCCAGTCGAGCCCGCGCACACTGTGGTGGTAAACAAGTCGATAAAACCTCCCAATTCATTGTGTCGCGTTCTGAAGAGGCAACTAATGCATCATCCGGCCCTCGAAAGTGGCCAGGAAGGGGGAGGCTCGGCAAGTGTTCGCCACGTACTGGACCAGCTCACGTTCTCTGCGACAACACTGGAGGCTGCCCCGTTGTCCGTGCACGCAGGCTTGACATTGCTGAGCCAAAGCCCGGTTTTAAAGGCATCGTGGACTCTGGTGGTCGGAGTAACCACGACCACCCTCCTTGGAAAGTGTAGTGTAGTCGCCCCTCTTTATCCGGAAGGCGAATAAAGTAAACTCCATGCTGTTGCTTGCCATCGGCGAGCAACGCCAACGCTCTCATTTTTTTTGGCGTCGACGGGCCTCGTTGGCTACAGCTGCACTCGGTCCCAGTAAACTACGGTTAAAAAACAAACAAACAAACACACAAGAAAACAGCGGTGAAACGGAGTAAATTAGCAAGCGCAGGCACGTACCTGCTGCAGCATGCGGACTTCGTCAGCAGGAGCTGTTCAGCAAATGAAGAGAGATCTCGCTCAGCGACTCAGTGCCATACGCTCTCAGGCCTGCAGGAGATCTGTGGGCGGGTGTGCTCAACGGCTTGAGTTTGCGACGCCAAGCTTGGCGATTCGTCGCCTCAGTGTGTTGATCTGCACTTCTCCCTTGCCTTCTAGATGACTAGCTGACTGGCCGCACCCGAAATGCAACCGACTCGCTGGGCTGCCACAGGGTTCGAGTTTATGCTCCAACACGGAACTGCCAGAGTTGGAGGTACTCTCAACCTCACGTTGAGACTTGGCGTTGAACCAATTCTCAACCTGGAGTTCGGCATCCAAAGCCACTCAAGACAACGAGTGGAGCCCAAATCCAAGGCTCCGGCGGCCGTTCTAGCCCCGTCGGACAACGGACAACCCTCGTGTCTTGTTTCTTTGCGAGTCGTGCACACCAAAGTCCAAAGTCCAAGACAGGCGGGGCAGTGGAGGCAAAGGATGGAGGCACCAGTCAAGTGGGCGGACATCCGTATGACCTCCCCCACAGAGTGTGTGTGACAGGTTGTGTCGAATATCCGTCTAAGAGGCACCAGCCTGGCCTCCCCGCCCTTCACTGCCTCAAGTAACACCGAAGAGTGGCCAAGTCGAATGCCGCTGCCAAGGGGGACACAGTGTAGGCAGACTACTGGTGACGCACGAGGCCTGGCGGTGGTACGGTGAGCGGTCGCATCTCCCTGCAGAGCCAGGTGTCCAATTCCCGGCGGAAGGTAAAGTCCGGATCAACGAAGGCATCTTCGCAGAGAGCATACAAGAGGCGAATCCGGTTATCGCTCCAAAACTTCCGGAGATCACGTGTCCGCGACCGGATCTCAATCGTCACACGCAGATCCGGCATGAGCAGTGGTGTGATAAAGATGTCGGAGAGGCCACCGCTTCGTCGAAGAAGTTCTACCCCTCTTGGCACGTTTTATTTGCCGGCCAATGGCCGAGGGAAGGAGTCGCGTTTAAACCCAGGGTAATGTCCTCCATCGGCATGACTCGAAAAGTACAGAAAGGGGCATGTTGCTCGACGTGCCGCGCTGGTGGCTGGTGGAGACGGACCTTTTTCCCGAAAACCCCTCTGGGGTTGGGTTCTCGTTTAGTGCTCCAACGCGAGGTGCGCGATATCGGGCCCTGTTTTGACGGAAGAGCTTTAGAAGACTAAGCGGTGCACGGGCCTTGATGTCGGGTGCGCGGATCGGGTGCGCGGACGGTACGCGGTGGAGGGCCGGGAGGGCAGGGACAAGGTGCAAGACTTAACGACTGCGTGTGGGGAGGGCAAGGCTTGGCGGCTGGCTGAACGGCGGAGGGTTATATAAGGCTTGGCGGCTGCGCGGGGAAGGGTTGGGCGGTGCGCGCGGGACGGCCGGAGCTTGGGGGAAGCGCGATATTTCAGGGGGTTGGGGACCGCTCTCGAGGTTGAGTTCTCCTGGGCACCTGAAGGTTCCCGCTCGAATGGGCCCTAGGCGAGTGGCGTCCACCAACTTGCTCGTGGCCCGCCCAACATGCAGTGGCTGAATCAACGGCATCCCTGCGTGGGCTCCACGGATACCCACTTGCTTTTGCAGGAGCCGGTCGATTGTAGCAAACTGAACTTCGTTGCCGCCTCCCCCTGTGGGTTGCTTCGGGTCTCCAGTGCGGATGAGAAGAACGTCTGAGGCCGCTTCGGTGACATTCACAGACTCAGCGTGCCCCTCCTGCTGACCCTCATCAATGACTAGGGTGCGACACCGGTTGAGGGCCTGCAGGACCTCCGACCGCCACCGTCCGAGTTGCTGCGCCCCCGAACCTTGGGTGATCAGAAGGATGCGAGCCTCTGTCAAGGGTGGAGGCGGCGCAGACTCCTCCAGGCCTCGTGCGGAAAGCCACGAATCCAGTAGACTCCCCTTACCCTGGCCTTTGGCACCCGCCCCATGAGCAAGAGGGATGTGGTCATGCACCGTGGAGAACAGCTCCTGTTTGCCCGACACCCTGCGAACAACGAGCAAACGGCGCAGCCAGATAGGCGCATCCGCAAGCACATTATGCGATATCATGAGCACCGCAAGCAGGGCTGCGTGCTGCTGGGACGTCCATACAACAGGGAAATCTAGGACAGCATCCACACACATTACTGCCAATAGGAGGGAGAATGTTTTGGAGGCGCCTGGGCATCCCAATATGTTGAGGGAGGAGCGGTTGGTGCCACGCGCAACCAGGATGGCCTGCACGTGTGCAAGCAAAAGCCCGTCCGGGTCGTCAAGTAGGCGACTGATGAGCTCGCAGAATGCTCGCCCTCTAATGTTGGCCGCCTCGAGGTAAACCGCGGTCACCTCATCCCGTGGCAATTCCCATGACCTTCCGACCCCTTGCTGTGAACGCCACGAATGTGGCTTCACCTGTACTTCCTGGAGGTCGCTCCTATGCGACGCCCAAGAGGTGGACTCTGCTTTTTCAGGGTCAAACAAGTCCTCCGCCACCGAGACCCGGCATGCCTGCAGGAATGTCAACACCATATGCATCTCCACCGCAAAGGGCGCGCTGGTGCGTGAGATTGGCCTGGAAGCATTGGGAGTAGGGACACCCAGCGACAGGGGGACGCGGCTATTCGGCAGCTCAAGGACCCGCTTAAACAAGTTGAGGCCTCCGCCGGACTTCAGGCAGACCAATCTGTGATAAGGCAAAGTGACAGCGGGCAAATGATGCAACGCGGGCGGAGGTCCCAAAAACGTAGGCCATTCCTGCACCAGCAGCTCTACATAACTGGGATTAAGCTTCCGGAGATGTTTTGCATAGTAGTCCTCATGCTTTTTCCGCGAAATGTAGAGTTCCGTAAAGATCCCTATACCAGCCGGTTGACGGGTGGCCCACCTACCTCAAACACAACGACAGAGCCCTCAAGAGGGAACTGCCTCTCCACATGGGAGAATAACCAATTACGTGCGTCGCCTGAGTCAGATGACGCTACATCTTAAAGATCACCAAAGCTAGTGCGTGTTACTGCGGTGACAGTGACGGCAAATCCCTGGAAAGTCCGACTCCCCACCATCTCCCTGGAGGCGGAGTGTCGGTGTGGTTCCCGCTTTCTTTCCTCCGTCGAATCCGCCAGGGTGGCACCTTTGCTAAAGAGGTGGAAGTAAAGGAAGTCAACTACCCTGGCCAAGGAGTGCCGCAGCAAGACTCTAGTGACAGGCTCTGGGAGCCAGCAGGTCGTGCCACCGTCCTCTGAGATGTGGTGCAATTGAACTGTGCTTAGTAACCATGTTTTGAGGCGGTGTATATCCTCCGCTGCGGGCGGCTGGCGTGCTCCGAGCGCAGTGAAGAGGGCGCTCGGCAGAGCTTCCTTGAGGCTCGCAAGAGTCGGCTCGGTAAGCTCCGCCTTCGGAAAAATCGCCTCCATAACCTGCATATGGGGCGAATCACTGAAGACAGGAAAGCGGAACAAGTGCAGTTGCTGGAAGGCCAAATGCAGCTCATGGTTGTCATTGACGAGCGGTAGCATTGCCCAGCAGCTCGCAGTGTCGACCTCAGAGGGTAAACTTTCCAATCGTCCGAGCAAATGTCCATATCCGTGGCCCGCTGAGCCAAACAACTCCCTCGACGTGCCTCCTATCACCCAGACAAGCCCTCCCCCTCCTTCGCGCAAATCATGATTCAGCTGTTCCCGGAAGTGGGCCGTGGGCTGAAGGGGCATAATTGGTCATCCCGTGCGTGCACAAGCCATAGTGTAATCGGGAGTCGTATGAGTTGATCAAATACGAAGTCCGGCATACCCAGCGCACCTAACCGAACGGTATTGCCGGGCCCAGGCTGGGAGGGGATGCGTCCCCACACGCGGTGCGCCAAAAGCGCAAGCACTGCCCCCGTGTAGCTACCCGCTGAGAAGCCATGGACGATCAGGGGGCTGGGCCGCAATGCCGCAAGGAAAATAAGCATCGCGCTAAGGCATCCACCATGCGGAGATTGAGATTGAGGTGCGAGCTGCGGGGAAGACGCTCGAACGGGCGGCGTATCATAGCCAGCTCCGGCAAGCTCAGCGGAGCATCGAGCCTGGCGTACGCCGCACGAACCACACAAGCGGGAGACAGCAAGACACTGGTGTGTTGGCCAGCATACGCAAGCCTGTCAGGCCCCCAATCGAGAGTTGCCCTTTCTCATCTGCTTCGGTGGTTTCGGCTTGGCAACCTCCAGCTGTATGATGGGCTGCTGGTGGTGCAGGCGCGGGAGCGTGTCTCCCGGCCCGGCGCAGGACACCTCAAGGTGGCACCGGCTGGTCAGAGGCAGCCCGGTGTTCAATGCCTTCTATCAGGAAGCGGCTATTCCTGGCTTTTTCGTTTACGGGCACGGTGCTTGTCGCGCAACATCTCGAGAGCAACATCATCGTCACGGCAAGACGACGAGATAGGGAAGGCCTGGATTGCGGTGGTGGAGGGCATGTTGGTGGTTCAACGGGGGCCCCACCGAGCTCGTCAGCATGCACTTGGCAATCGGGCGACGGAATTTACGTCAGTGTGTGGCTTTCGCCCTCAACCCATCCTCCCTCATCACGGAGCCAGGCATCCTCCTGAGCGACGCTATCTGGCTTTTCACAGAGACTGAGGAAGTGCCATCATACCATCATGTCCAGCACACTCTGCCGCACATCATCAACCGGGGGCGCTGGGTAGGGAGACACGGGGAGTGACACTCCGCCCTCTTCGTGCCTATTAGCGCAGACACAGCTCTCACAGACTCCCCAATTTGGTGGGGCAAAGTGTACGCGCTGTGGCTACTGACCACGCTGCTGCCAGGCAAACACATCCTACTTGCGGATCATGATGCGGCGCCTACCTCTCTGTTTGAGGTAAGGGATCTTCAGGAGCTGGTCTCAGAAGCAGCCAGCTTTCAGTCCGCCCCTGCGCCGGGCTGTGACGAAACCCGGGCAAAGACAGGCCTCAGGTCACTGTGGGACTATTCCCGGGCGGCTATGACCTAGCCTCTCGACCGCATAACATCGGTGGCGTGGGGGTGGTCTTCATTTCCGAGCCCTCCACGGATGCGCAAGGCGGGTTCTCTGTCTTTGCGGCGCAGCCTGGCAGTGCGACCACCGACATTGGCCTCCTTCCTCGTATATGGCGCTCCTCGGGTGCAGTTGAGGCATTCCTGTGCGGAGCTGGAGCGTCTGCGATAACGCCGCCTGGCGGCAGCCCTTGGCCCACCGCCAGCGATGCCACATTGCTGGATGCTTACTTCGGACAGGTAGGGCGCTTCCAGGTCGTCCACTCTGCTGACATTTCGGATGCGTGCGACCAGTCACTGCCTGTTGAGAACTGTCCCATCAGGGTCACGTGCACAGGTGCGTCGGCATTTTACATTCCGGCCCGCACGGAGGAGTGGCGGGTAGTCTGTTCAAGCAGTGCTATGGGCCCACGGACTGCGCCATCGATGGCCAGCTGCCCATGGACTACGGCTTGTGTAAAGCGTTCAGAGGGATACCGCCTCCACAAAAAAGAGCGGACGCTGCTGAACGATGTTTGTGCCCTTTGTGTGTCTGTGAATTGTATGTTCTGCTTCTATTTTCTCGTTTTAGCCCCTTAAGCGATTTGCATGTGTGGCGTCTATTCACGTTCTTTTTGACAGTTTTTCGCTTTGTGCGGTTTGGTGACTCAAAATGCATCGAGAGACCCCGTTTTGTTCCGGAACCTGGTCGGGGGGGACAACAACAACAACAACCCAAGGAACTCAGGTCTGAAACCTTTTTTTGGCGTGTGCGTTGCTCTATGGGCTCCTTCCCCTTTGACAAAGGGGGACTTAACTGAAAAATGCCACTGGCGTTTCGAATCACCGGGAGTGTGCAATAATGAAGCAACAACCAGCAAACGGAAATCTCAATCTGCTCCAGAATGCAATCACTCGGTTTCAGACTTTTGTCTGGATTCAATGAGCCTCCGTGGGTCCAACATGAGCAGTAGAATGACCATGCAATCTAACACGGTCCCTTGATTGCGACGGGGCACGTCGACAATCAATCTCCGCTCGTTTATTGGTTCTACAATCATACTGGAATAGCAACGAAACAAGAATTGGAATCAATGTCGTGTGAATCAAAACAATCAAGCAGTCAATCTAACGGTTGAAACGCAATCACGAAACTAAGCTGGCAATCTCACTCCTTTTGCAATCAGAACTGAGCAATGTCATGCAGTCGCCCAATCTCCAACTATATGCAATCATCATCCAGGAAACAATGTCTCCGTCGGTACATTGCAATCATAGAAGAAAATGGAAGCAGCACTCAATTGTCAGTATCTGCAGCGAATGTCCAGTTGTCCAGTGCTCAATCCGAGCAACTTGTTGCCAAAGCCAGAACAATCTGAACAGAAAAGAATCAAAACCAAAATCAATGTGGTTGAGAGGCAGCAATGCACGCTCCTCAATGTCGCAAGCACAATCCACCTGTGCTGTGGATCCTCAATCCACACGTGCTGTGGATCAATGGGCCAATCTTCACTGGCCCTTGCGCTTCTTCTGCGCAATGGCTGCGGCAGTCGCAACCATCACGCTGTATTCTTGACTCGTCAATGATGAAGACGAGGATCCGGAATCCGTTCCGGGTCCAATTCCTGCACTTGTTGCAATGTCGTCGGCCGGAACTTCTTCGCAATTTTCCGACAATAGCATGAGTTCGGGAACACCTCAATCTGCACGCTCGAGACAGGGAATGTGCAATGACGATGCACGGCTTCCGTGGGGTACCAATGCTCGTAGCTCGAGTTGCGCATCAATGAAGCCAATCCTTCCACATTCACTGTAGCCAATGCAAGAACAATGCAATGCTGGCGAACAATCCCATCCAGACAATAGGTGTATTCACCACCAATCTGGTTCTGGGTGCTGTCAATGGTGAGACACCAGGAACAACTGAGAAACGAGCAATTGTGATACTTAAGGAATCCGCCAACCCCTTCAGGATTTTTCAATCGTGTGTCCATCATCAATCTCGTGGGCCTGAAGATCAATACTTTCACCATTTCTGCGCACTGACTGCGCGAGAATCGGCTTTGGCGGTACCAATGGCACAATTTGCGCAAGGCCGCATCCACACTGAATTGTGGATTCAATTGTCCCAATGGAGTTGGGATCTCTGTGACGCGTCCGCTCACCAATGACTCAATGATCGAAGCCGGCAATGCTAAACAAGCAAACCAGTCGACCAATCCATCAACTGGTCCATACTGACGGCAATTGAACGTTGTCACTGCAATGGCCCGGGTGAAAATCGACTTCAATGCACAATAGCATTCGACAGTCTTGTCCAATAGCAGGAATGACAGATTCAATGAGAATACGGGAATTCCATCAGCAATGTCCGTTGCTCTCATGTGTGCAATGCATCGATTGCAAATGTGGAGCAAATTCAGGAAGGCGCAATTTGCGTAACCGCAATGGACAGAATAGCCATCTGGGGTCGATGTGCGTGACCATTTGTTGGCAATGGTCCATCCCAATTGAACTTCAATTCCTGTAATCCTCCCTGTAAATCTCGACAACTGTCGACAATATGCAGACAATGCATCATGAATCATCTCGGCAATCTCAAGAATCACTGGGCAATCCAGGTGAATGATGCCTTCGTTCAATGTCAACGTGACGTAGTGGTCAATGACCTGCGTGGACTCAATCAGAGCATTCTTCCATTGGTGCAATTCCAAGGTGGAGGCAATTGATGCCAAATGCACATAGAAGATCGCCAATGCCTCACGCAATCGGGTCAACACCATCCATTCTGGCCACCGCAATTGGTGCTTGGTTGGACGAATGTGATCGCTCACCTGACTCACGATGTTCAAGAACTGATCCAATGGCGAGCTCTGCGGCAATGTCACGGGAGGCGCTCCCATGATGAATTCTGGTGCCAATGCCGGGGCCGGATTGGCAGCCATGGCAATCAGGATCAATCTGAGGCAATCGTGAGAACGAATCTGCTTTCTCAATCTAAGAGCAATCGCAAGCGGGAGCAATAAGTAAATCAACAATCACAAACGCACACACTCCAGGTTCAAAATCTCAAAACGCTTTCAAATCCTGTTCAAATCATGCTATGTACAATGTTGCTAATACATCAATGTTTGACCGAGCCAATGTGTGTAGAGCTCGAGACAATGACTGTTCGGCTCCTCACGACAATGCTTTGTACACCTCGGAAATAAATGCCAAATCTCTTCAACCAATAAATTCTTGTTTGTTGCAATTCAATCACAGGGTTGGTCATAGACCTCGCAAGGAAAATCTTCCTGGTCAATGGGTCACAACAGGGATGATAAAATCTTGCCAATGCACATGCTGAGCTCAAAAGGAATTCTCTCAATTCTCACCTCTTCTTTCTTTTAAAAGCAATACGCACGCTGAGGCGCACGTATGCGTAATGAGACATGCAATAGACTCCAATCACCTGAAAGCCAGGCGGTCCCTTAGACAAGGCGAGTCAATTCTTCCGTGAAACCGATGAAACAATGTTTGTTTGGTTTTGGGGTTTTCTCGATGCAATGGAGATCGAAAACAATCGAGATCAACTCACATAAGACAATGAGGTTCTCAAGACAGTGACGACCAAAACAATAGACGTGATCACAATGATGAGGTAAGGGCAATAGCTCTTCACAGGGACGAATGATGGAGGAATGACAAACAAATCCTCAACGTCCGCAGACAATCTCGGACACTTCACAATCTGGGGACGAATGAAGGACGAACTCAGACAGACAATGGATTGAACCGAATGACATGCAATGGACAGCAGCCATGGTTCAATGCTGAGCCTGTCAGGATCAGAGAATGTCCTTGTAAACTGTCCGCAATGAATCAATGTGTCCTCCACTGAGAATCCAATCCTCAGGAATATGCCGGAATATGTCGCCAGAGGTTCCTCAGTCAATCTCAGAGGTTCCTCGGTAACAAGCAGAGACGTCTCTCAGTAGTTCTTGAACAATGTCCAAGGAAACGTTAAAGACAACACAATTCGTCAGAAGTCGTAATAACAGATTGCAATTTCCGTACTCAATGCTTGCTCGTCCTTCTTGTGTGCGAACTTGCAGTTGTTCTTGAGACACCGCCTCCACGGCGTGAACAACGCGAAAAATGCAATCTATTAAGACGAACTCTATTGCAATGAGTTGTGGGAAACAGGTTGCAATGTCCATGCTCAATGTTTGCTCATTCGCAATATGTCGAGCTGCATGTTTCGACATCGGCATCAGCCATCGCGACGGAGCGATATGCGCAATGCACTCTATTGGGACAAGATGTATTACAATGAGTCGTGGAATCAAATAGCGACGCTCACGCTCAATGATAGCTTCGTGTACCAATCGTTTCCAGCCGGCCGTTGCCTTAGCGTTGGGCCTCGGCCTTAACAATGGCAACGTGAAGTACAATGGTTTGACGGAGATTGTGATGCAACAATCCTCAAGACACAAAACCAATGAGAAATGAAGCTGACGCGAACCGGAGAATGAGATATAATGATGGATATGACAGCAGGGAAATCCATGAGAATGATCAGAATGACGTGACAATCGAATGAATCGTGACCATCGAAAAATGAGCAATGGTTGCACAAGACACGGTGAGTGTCTGAAGAAAATCTGACAATGATCAAGATGCAATGCACATGCCGGGGCAATGTCTTCAATCAAGCTCCCAAGATCAAGAATGAAATCAGTCTCAATCCAAAGAGGCTCATCAATGACAATGACAGCATCCGACTGGCACGAAAAGTCACAATCAAGAAACAGACGAAGATCATGCTCAACGAAGAATCGCGCAGACCCAATCAAAAGCACAAAGGTCCGTTCCTCAGATCCAATGTCGGGCGCAGAAGGTGCGCTTCGACAATAGGTCATATGAATGTTCTCAGAATGATCAATACAGATGCTCCAATGCTCTTGGTTCAGTGCAGAACAATGCTCATACAAAGAATCTCGCAAGTAGCCACAATCCTGCTGAATCGAAATCGAGGGATCCTGAGGCAATGACTCAAAACATCCAATACCCGAACTACAATGATGAGTCGCGATAACCCGATCCTCTCTGAATCCAAGATGACAATGACCGAAAACGCAAGAATCGTCCAATCGAATGTCCGCCTCAATGAATCCGAAATCCGAAGGGGGTCCACCAAAGTCGTGAAACCAATCTCCATGCAGCAGTGCTCTACGATCAATCGGAGCACTCATGAGTCCGCAAACACACAACAATCATCGTGACAAGCGAAGACATCAAAATACCAAAACTAATTCTCAATTGCCATGGTATAACAGGCAATGTTCTAGTAGATCCAATCTCTTCCAAATTCATAACGGCAATCGCGTTGTCAATCAATGAGCAACCGATGGAAGTCAATCGCTTAACCACCGACGAGGATGAAACTTGATCACCAATCTCGGAACTAGACGCAATGCAGGGTTCTTCCGAGGCAATGTCTGAAAGAGTGCAATCGGGGTGACCGCAGCAATCAGAAAACTTCATGCAATCAGACCTACAACATTCGCATGCAGAGTCAGAATCGCAATCAGAGCTAAGCCATGTCATCGCGCAATGCCTAACGCCAATGTCCTCAATCGGATCACACATGCAATCGGGATCCTTCTGCGTCTCGACACAATCCGAACAGACCGTGTCATCACAATCTCGCATGCCGATTTCCAATGCTGCATCTGCGAACCAGCAACTATCTTCTTTCAATCTCCTGCTTTCTTTCTTCATCTCTTCTTCTTCTTGTCCCGCCGTTTGAACCAAGAGAGCTACGGCTCTAGGGAGGCAGGTGTTAAGGGTTAGGGTGACAACGTTCAGCAAGTTCGCAAGAGGTTCAGACTGCAGGCAATCACTCCATGACATGTTGTACCACATCCACATTCGCACTCTGATTTTTTCATGATGTGTGTCGGGCCTCTTCGAATTCGATCTGCACTAGCCTACAAGCTGGATTGAAGCACAAGTGTACATACGACCTCCGGCTGAGTGAGCAACCGGAACTTGCACCCCAAGGATAGCGATACGTGCCATCGAGCAGATAGCATGCCAAGTGAAACATTAAACACAATGGACTGCATCTTCAAGGGCGGCGTGGGTGGGTCACAAAATTGACCTCGCACCAAATTGGCCACGGCACGGCCAATCATTCAACTCGCTTCAAGAGTAAAGCAGTGTGTACTTGCCGGTTCGTCCAAATGCACAGGCAATCACAAGAGGAAATCAAAGGCAATTTTCAAAGAAGTCAAACACGGATCATTTTCACTTTTCCGCCGGCCCACCTCCCCTGGCTCAAACTCCGAGACAATCCTTTTGGGGAGACCCAAACGGTTTGTCCCGCCGTTTGAACCAAGAGAGCTACAGCTCTAGGGAGGCAGGTGTTAAGGGTTAGGGTGACAACGTTCAGCAAGTTCGCAAGAGGTTCAGACTGCAGGCAATCACTCCATGACATGTTGTACCACATCCACATTCGTACTCTGATTTTTTCATGATGTGTGTCGGGCCTCTTCGAATTCGATCTGCACCAGCCTACAAGCTGGATTGAAGCACAAGTGTACATACGACCTCCGGCTGAGTGAGCAACCGGAACTTGCACCCCAACTTTAGACCGGGAAGCGAAGGAAGCCCGAAGTGCAAATTTACCATTCCGACTTGTCAAGTAATTTCTGGCGCTTACTAATTTTCTCATTCGGTAGCTTAAGCAAAGCAAGACGTTCGCGTTCGTGCTTGAACTCCTGGTAGCCTGCTTGCAGCTCCTTGAAGAGATCCATGGGGATATCTTCCATCGTCAAAGGCACCTGCAATTCTGGATTGAAATTTCCCGTTCTCAGATTCGTCAGATCATCAGCATCCTGGTTCTCTTCACGTGGGCGCCATGCCAACCGGCACACTTTGTTCGCCTGGCGAAGCGTCGTAGCAAGCTGCATATGGATACCTTGTACAGGCCACTTGTTGCTCACCCCGCGATCCGTCACCGCTGGCGTTGACTTGTTATCAGTCCCGGCACAAACCTGGAGCCTGAGCTTGTCACGCCCCCCTTTCGGCGTTGCGTGGCCGAACGCCACAAGGCCGGCGTACGAAGCAAGGAGTTCAGCTGCAGTTGATGCCCATTCGAAGAGAGCGGGGAGGTCCTGTTGTCGTACCTCCAAAGTGAACCAAGGTGCATTGTGGGTGTCGGTCCCCTGATCGAGGGACCACCCACCGAGAACCACTCGTCCCCGTTCGCATTTTGCGTCGGTTCTAAAGGCTTGCCGATCGCTTGCGGGCCAACTCATATGGACGGCGTCAAGTCTCGCCCCGCTCTCAAACTGAAACCGAAAGAAGCGAAGGACCAGCACCACGAAGTCAGGGAGTTGCGCAACAGTGCTGCGATTGACCACAGCCTGCCAAGCATATAATGGTGCCAAGAAGGGCTTCATCCAGGTAAGCGTCCGAAGGACGAAGTTGAGCCGTCCCAAGAATTCCACTAAAGGCCTTCCAACAACCACCCAATTCGACGATTCAGCTTTGGTGATCCATTCCACGATCCATCCAGCGTGCTTCTTTGAGATCCCAGCAGTCCATGAGAAGTAATTGATGTGGTAACCGATGAAGTCCACTTCCACCCCACCACGAAACTTGTGGTGCGCGAAGGGAGTCCCCACGACCTCCAGCGCCAAGAAGCGTGCCCATAGCGTGGTGAATTTCTCGGCTCCGAAAACAATTACCTGGAGGTCATCAACGTATATAAGCATGTAGAACTTATCAAGGTGAAGTATCCGAAAAGTCCAACGGCCAACTGCAGCAAACAATCTCGCCCAATGATATGCCGCCGAGCTGATACCGAAAGTACCGACTCGGTTGAGCCAGAGGACTCGCGATGCGCTGGAAGCTTTACAGGCCATGCGAGGCCAGTCAGCCTCGCGCACCTTTGCATTTCTGTGTGCTTGTTTTATGTCCGCGCACAAGGCGAAGGGGGCCTCCTTGCTTTCAAGAACCCGTGCAGCCACTTCTTGAAGATCTTCAGGGCCTGGGACCTGAAGCTTGTCAAGAATCCTGATACGATTATTCAAGTTGATGCCGTGAGTCCCATCGTGTAACGGTCTCACATCGCCGTTGGCCTTGGTCACCGCTCCCATTGCTGCAATGAGCACGGCGTCTGCTCCGTATTTTGCCTTCGCCTCGGCCTCGGTCGCGCAAGTCATCAAGCCGGCTGCTTCGTGCTCCCGAAATTTCGCCTCAAGCTGTTCGGCATTCAACTCCGCTGAACGGTAATTGACCATAGAGGGATCGAAGTCAGATTGGTCCAGTTTCCGGAAGGTCGTGCGCCTTGGGAAGACTTGAGGCGTTCTGGGCAATGGCTTGTCCCAGCCCAGGGGCACGCCCTCAGCAAAGGACTCGCTACCATGATCCAAGATTTCAAAGTCAGGGTCCCCAAGCGTCTCCAGTGATTGCGACAGCATGTGCAAGTAGAAGGGTTGGCCTGGGGGCCTGCACTTGGCTTGCTCTGGATCCGGCAAGGCCTCCGCGATTCTCTCCCGTGTCTTTTCCAGTGTGTGGTCCTCAAAGGGGGATCGCTGCAAGCGACCGGTCGCCAACAAGTAAGCTGCTTTCCTCGGGTCTGGAATGGTCGACCTCACTGTGTCCAACAAGATCCCGCGCACCTGTTCGGCATGTTCCCATTCCGACGAGCTAGCTTTTGCATCTCGTGAGTTAGGCCGCCACCGGCCTGGGGAGCACAAGCCAAAGCCATCCACGAGCTCTCTCCATTCACGGGTGTGTCGACACCGAAGGGGTGGTCCCCTGCATCGGCTTGTGGCTGGGTCGAAGTCCTCTGTCGCATCTACACTGTCCTGGCTCAAGGTACCTCTGTCAGCACTGCCTACATCAGCAGGTTCCGTAATGTGTTCTACTTCTGGGGCTCGTGGAGTGGTCCCCTCCACGAGGGTGCTAACAGGTGCCTCCCGGATGGACCCTCCGGCAGGGGTGCTAGAAGGATGAGGGCCCCCAGACACGGCAAGGTCAAGGGGGGTGTTATGGTGCGGGTTGGTGTCTTCGGTGCCTGCCCCCCGCTTTAGTGACGCCGAAGACGGCAGCACGAAACCAAGCGATTCAAGTAATGATTGCTGCTCCGGCTGGAGCTCTTGCGTTCGCTGCACAGCAAAACCCACAAGCAAGATCCGCTCTCCTTGCCAAGGTTCTGTTTGGTGAAATCGTTCGTGGGCCAACAAGGTTTGTGGCTGCTCGGCAACTGGCAGGAGGCGGCCACATCGCGGGATTCCGCGAACATGGCGGTAGACGTCGCCTGTCGAGCACTCCATCCATACCTCGCCATGTTGAAATTGTGAAAGTGCCAGCAACAAGTTGGGATGCGGTGCATTGCGGCTGTCCTTGTGCATCTCAGCAGCAACGTTATGAAAAAACCGCTAGCGAAGTGAAGACCTGTCCCGGAAAGTGTGAGCGAATCAAGGAGGTCAGGCACTGTATTGCTTTGGGGAAGTTGTGGCAGCTTTGGCGGAGCCCAATAAAGCCGCCCTTGCAGAAGGCTCCAGCGAAGAATGCTTGACCTGTCGGCACTTTGTCTGCAGAAGTCGCAGGGTGCGGTGCTTCACACGGCAACAGACGGAAAAGTGCTTCACCATCGGGGGGTGTCAAAGGTCGGCCCTCATCCAACAAGAAGCTCGCAAAACCCTCGGCACCTTGAAACTTCTGTCCAGTGGTTTGTGCAGAAAACACATGTTCGGCAGCCAAACCTGTGATGTGTTCCAGAAAAGCAAGGGGAAATGCAAGCTTGGTGGTCCAAGCTCCAGCCGTACGACCTACCGCTTTCTCGTGGACATGCCCACATCGCTGCAATGGTCCGACGTATCTGCCTTCAAAGTCGAACTGGGGCCACGGCATTGACGGGGCACCGACCTGCAAGTTAGTAATGACTCTAGTGGGATGAGCTGCATGTGCGCCGTACGCACACATGTGTTGTACCCATGTTCGGGCCGTTGCATCCTGAGCTAACAGCTCGCGCACCTCCGGCCATTGCCAAATGCTAGCCGGGTCCTGCTGGTTCTTAAGTCTGCCAAGGTCCTCCGGGTGTACAAGCATCCAGCCGGTACGGACGTTGGCGAAAACACGAATCAATTTCAAAAACTGTCTGATGAAGCAATCTTCACGCTCAACTGCTACCACATGTTGCTTAGCAAGCCAAGGGAAGCCGTGGGGAAAATTACGAGCCCGAAGGGGTTTCGGCCTGTTGCGCAAGCCGTCCTGACGGTAGCGCGCCCTGCTGTAAGTGCTGCAAGGAGGAAACATTAAACACAAATCCCAAGTTCCAAGCTGAGCTTGCTTCGCAATGGATTCCCAGACCTCGGGCTTGTTTCCATCCAGTTGTTCATGACCCTCGACGAAGTCAACCTTGAGTTCACAACCCGAGCGATCAGCCAAATTCTTCAAACACTCATGCACAGCTGTTTCAAGATCACGCTCCACTGCAACCACCAGCGCCCGGAGTCAGTTCTTGGGTTCATCCGTGCGCTTGCCATCGTGGTGCAACTGCCAATGCTTCCAAGTTGGGTGCGAACCAAAGCCAAAGCATCCCTTCACCATGCAACAATGAACCATGCCGCAATTGCCGTCGCAGCCCGGTCCTGAATAATCAAAGCAGATGGATGAACCTCCCATCAGGCGTCCGTGAAGTCGTCACACTCTGCTTCTTCCCTTTCCCTTCCTTGCCATCCTTTCCATCCTTGCCTTTGTGACCATCCACTCCCTTCTTCCCTTTCTTCCCTTTCTCGGACTCTTTGCCAGAGCCCCAGTTGCTTTTCCAGGGGCTGCGTGTCCACTTGTTATCAGTCCAGGGCTCCCAACTGTCATTGTGTCGCTTTCCCCGACTCTGGAGAGCAATCGGTGAAGTGAAGTACTGTTCCTTGGGCTGCGCATCCTCGGTCACTTCCCGCAATGTATCGCGCAAAGGTCGCGACTCACGATACGCAAGCTTTCTCTTGAGCCGAACGACTTGGACCAAACAGCTGCACTTACCAAAAAAGTTTCCTGAGTAAAAGTTGCACTGAGTTGGAAAGGTTTCGCACAAAGAACTTCGCCTAAGTTGCACAGCAAGACTGAAGTGGCACACGATGCTCGCACAGACGACTGTATTTTTTCCATCGGCGACGTTGGGGATAACAACTGCTGGAGTGCCGGTCGGCACCAAGTTCGTATGCCCATTTTGGCATTTTGCTAAGCCTAAATGTCCGCAGGGAGTTGCAGCCCTCAGCGAGGGGCCCTGCTAGCATTCACCCCCTTGCCAGGGTGGGCGGGTGGGTCAAAAATTTTGCTCAGCTTGAGCATCCGCACTGCGAACAGCATGAGTGTGATTCATGCACTGCAAGACAAAAGAGGGATGCTCTGTCGCGTTGTTGTCTCAAGGAAAAGGCCACTGAAGAAAACGCAAGAAGTAAAGCAACCTTTTATTTTTCAAAATCGGTCCAAGGCGGCCCACGCGAGGGCCTTCGTCCGGGCTCAAGAGAATCCACTATCTCGGAGCGAGACTGTGTGGTTCTCTTGAGCCGAACGACTTGGACCAAACAGCTGCACTTACCAAAAAAGTTTCCTGAGTAAAAGTTGCACTGAGTTGGAAAGGTTTCGCACAAAGAACTTCGCCTAAGTTGCACAGCAAGACTGAAGTGGCACACGATGCTCGCACAGACGACTGTATTTTTTCCATCGGCGACGTTGGGGATAACAACTGCTGGAGTGCCGGTCGGCACCAAGTTCGTATGCCCATTTTGGCATTTTGCTAAGCCTAAATGTCCGCAGGGAGTTGCAGCCCTCAGCGAGGGGCCCTGCTAGCATTCACTGCGGAGTTGCAGCCCTCAGCGAGGGGCCCTGCTAGCATTCACCCCCAACTTAATCCTATTACCTAAGTCCCTGAACATCCTTCAAGCAAGAGTCGACTCTTTGAGTCACATTCGAACGAAGGAGTTGAACCCCCAGCAAGCTCAAGCTGTCAAGCTCAACCCTTGAAGGTTCGTCTGCAGGGTTCGATGGGGATGGTACCCTTGCGAACCACGGAATGATTGAGGAGTTATGTTCCTTCTGCAGAAACGCCTCCAACAACCGTCTCGCGACTGAAGCTCTGGCATTCGCAGAGATAGCTGCGTCACGCACACCGTTATTGTCCACAAAGAAGATTGCCGTGTGCCCCATCAAGTCCTGCAACCATACGTCCAGTGCCACTGCCATTGCTAGCATTTCAGCCTGGAAGATGATCTGTGCAGAATTCTGCTCGCCAAGAAAGTTTTTCTGTGCATCGCTCAAAACAAGTGAAAAGAATTTTCGTGGAACACCAGTAGGATCAACCAGCACCCCTCCTAGGCCGCAGAAACTATGCCCTGCCCCTGGCTCATACGAAGCATCTGTGTACACATGCCATGATCCGCCCTCAAGGATCTTGATCAAGCGCGGGGCCCCGACCTCGAGCCTGAGCAGGAACTTCTCGAGCGATGCCCTGAGTTCGCGACTGATTACATCTTCAAAGCCGTAAGCATGAGCAGTGATCAGGCCCAAGCACTTCTTCCCAGTACGACCGAAGATTTGCGAATCGGCGAACTGGCACCTACCCCTGAGCCTTAGAGCCTCGTGATGTGGCAACCTACCTGACTCAAGCACCTTGCCCACGAACGCCCTGATCTCGGAGACCCGCTTTGCAGTGTTCTTGAAGCTTATGGTGCCATCAAGGCATGCACGAAGGTCCACCATGATTCCAAGCGCCTGGAAGCACTCGGAAAAGTCATTTGCCTTTTCGCCGGACTCGGCGAACGCCCAACCTAGGAGTTTGAACATGTAACATTGACGTTACTGCCGCCTCTGCCGACGCAGAGCACCCCGTCGTCGCAAAAGTGACAAGTCATCGAAAAACGACGACCAAGGCAAAAGCAATGCCTTTGCACCGAGAAACCACAAGGAATGACTAATCCTAAGGAAAGCGTAGACTGCCATTGCCGATCCAAATGGCATGGCCTTCATCCGAAAGTACACTCGCTCGTTCGTGTCTGGATGCACGAAGCAAACGTACGCTGCCCAGGCTGTGTCTGGGTGGACTGGCATCTGCCGGTAAGCTGCAGTGAGATCAAACGCCTTGCCCAAGATTTTGAACAAGACCTTGCCTGCTCTCTTTTTGATGGATTTCAGCAGTCGAAGACAGGTGGATGCAACCACGTCTGTAGACTGAGGCTGCGGAGCCTCATAGGCCTGCACCGCAAGGTTCACCCCCGAAGAAGTCAAATTGTCGATGCACCTTACCTTCTGGCCTTGCTGGATTCCGAACCGACGGCTAACCAAGATCCCATCACACAAGCTGGACTCGCACAAGGGACCAACGATCCAACCTGCTTCGCGCTCCTTATCGGTCTTGGAGCAAACTTCTGCTGCTAAGGCGGGGTCCTGGGGCTTAAGGGAATTTTTAACCTTTTCCCGAAAAACTTTTGAATCCTCCCTAACTTGCTTCGGCGTGGCTTGCATGGGCTTGAACTTTGGTTTAAAGACTCCCGAAATGGGCGCATGCCCCACCAACGGGACGCCTTCCTTGAGAAGGCTCGACACACACTGGTCTGGGTAATCGTATTTCTTAAGCAAAGCTTCCCACAAGAGGATGCGTTTGGATGCTGTAATCTCACGGACATCGGGGTGCATGCTGGCCTTCAGCTCCGCCTCATTGGAGGACAACGAAGTCGCCAAGTGCAACCACTCCTTGATTACCCTAGCCCTCAAAGCGGAAACTTCGGCGTCTCCCAACTTATCCAAGGATTCAAGAGTATCATTCAAGGGGGCCGGGAGCACCGAGCCCATCGACCTTGGGTGACATGATTCGGACGCCTTCTGCATGAACTCCTCAGGCTCCCAGGGTAACCCCCAAGCCATCTCCCAAGAATCAACTTTCACCAGTTCTTTACCCCCAGCTTGCACTATTGGCACGTGCCGGAGCAGCTGAGCTTTTGCCAGGATGTGTGCCAGGGTGGCACCACACTGTGGCGGCACGGGCCACGGGTTTCGGAGTCGTTGCATCGGCTGACACGGCAGCACGAGCCCCGGAGGGTGCTGCAAGACTAGGACCCGCTGATGCTCACTAACTAGTGGCGGTATCTTGCTGGCCCGAGGTTGGGCACCAGCCAAAGCACGAGACATAGGAACTTCCAAGCGAGGATCAAAAGCATCAAAAGTTTGCGGGGGCGATTGCCAGCCCTTTTGCACGAAGTGTTGAGCAAAACAGCAAGCTATCTGCATGGCAAGACGCACCGGATGGGCGCCATGCAATTTGGACTCAGGCAGACGGTCCTGGCGGCACGAGTTGCCCGAGCAAAATCGAGCAAGCTTCGAAAATGAGCGATCGGTGACAGCAAAGATGGTAGTGCTCAGGTGGTTTCCTTCGTATGCGCAGTCGTGGCACGACACAAAAGTAAAATGCGAAGAGACCTTGCTCCAGCAGTCGGACGTCCAGAACGGCCCATCGCCCGACTGGGCCAAAACACAGACCGCCCCTCGGCCGAGGACATGTAACAAGGCTGCTGCCAAGAATTGGTCCAAAGCACTGCCCAAGTGAGCAGGCGGAGTCACAAAAAGGCCGGCTAACCTAGGTGACGATATCCACTCCATGCACAAGTCCTGTCCTTTGGGCGTGGCCAGATCGGCCTGTAGGCATGTTGAGATGGACCTGCGGTTGTCAGCATCTACTCCGACGGCTGATAGCCCCAACTGTTTAAGACAGGCAGTTACCCGGCCGGACCCCGAAAACAATTCAATGACTAAGGGATCGCACCAAGTTGCAGGATTAGGGACGGCGTCGGAGGTGCAAGCAGAACCGTCGCTGGGCCGTGTAGGCATTTCAACAAAGTGGTCTGGGAGCACAACCCGTGGGCGAGTCGAGTCGCTGCCCTGAGAGCACGACCTGGAACGGAATGCACTTTCTGGAAACCCTGCTTCCAGCAGGCGTTGGCGGTACTCCGAAGACAAGCTTGCAGCGTGATTAGGTTTGAAGGCGACCAGCAGCACCCGGTCGCCAGACCAAGGCATGGTGCAGTGGGTTTCACGGGGGTTTAGGGTACACGGCCCATCGGCAACCCGAACTAAGGACCCAGAGAGGCTAAACCCTAGCTCGTCCTGCACGACGTCGTTGCCGGGCCCTTTTTGCCAGACCTCTCCACCTTGGAAAGCGGTAATCGGGATCAAGTAATTTTGCGACCCCATCTCGTTATTTACATCGACATGCAACGCAGTCTGAAGGTTCTTAAAAATCGCAACAGAAGTGAAGTCGGCGTTTGGGAAAGTTTGCAGCACAAGCTTACACAACAAGCGCGTACAAGCTGGGAAAACAGAGGTGTGTTTCCTGACGCCTTTGAGCGGTCCTTTGGCATATGCTCCCGAAGTCCAGGAGAAAGTGTTTGGCGCTTCTTGTCCCCTCGCCGGGGTCTCGCTCTCAAGCATAGTGATCAATTGCAAAACATCGGCAAGCTTACCTTCCCGAAGCTGTGAACAAAACTGTTCAGCTGGGTGCACCGGCTCAACGGATATTGTCCCCGGCGAATCAAGCTGAATGGAATCTGGCATCGGTGAATCATGACCTCCAGCGGAGGTCGATGCGACTGGTGTAACAGCGGCCTCACTGTCATCGGTCGACACAAAACTGTTCGGAGCACCTGTTTGCAGTCACTTCTTTCTCTTTGGACACTCCTGAATACCATGGTCAGGCGCAAAACACAATGCACAAACATGCAAGCCCTTAGGGCACGGATCCTGAGTGCAGCCGCACGGCAGATTCCTGGAGAAGCAAATGCGCTTCTTGTCGGGAGTCTCTGCAACTCCACCCAGTTTACGGATGGCTCCCGGCACACTGGGCTGCCATGTGCCCTTCTTGCCTTTACCTTTGCCCTTGGGGGGCTTCGTAATTTTAGTGTCTCGCTCAACCCCGGGCTTGTGCGGCGTGGCGACCCTCTTCTTGCTTTCCTCGGACTTTCGCGGAAGGAGGGCTACAGTTACGTCAAAGGTCTCAAGTGTGGAGAGCAGAGCCCGATCAACAGGGTATGTCCCATCTGCACTCCTTTTCGGACTGATTTCGTTTTCGATCATTCGCGTCCAGACCTGCCTATCTGCCGTAAGGAGTTGGTGTACACTAGTCCTTGCATAGCCTGGCGGGGGCTCTCGCCCCATATGCCCAAAGAGTTTGAGGACATACCTTTCATGTGCCACGTAACTGGCTACACCGGCGAACTGGAGAGCCACACCTCGGCGCTTCAAAGCCTCTTGCAATAACAAGGCTGACCCGCAGGCTACTTCTGGCAACCCTTTCTCCTCAGAAATCGCCAACTTGCCCTCCTCCAATGACAGGGTTTTACTCTGGGCCTTAACATTCTGGATCTCATACATGCGAGTGCCGCACTGCTCGGGGGCTATGTAGCGAAGCTGCCCCTCTCTTTCCATTCGACAAGCTGCATTCAAGAGACCATGGGAGGGCTCCAGGGACCCCTCAAGCACAACACCCGGTATGCTGGCTCGCACGGCCTCCATCCTCTTCTGACGTTCGACCGTCGGAACGTCTCGCGTAGACCACTTATCGGGCTGGGTCACCTGTTCCCTGAGATCATTAAGCAGGAGTGCTTGACTCTCGAAGAGAAGCCGCTTCACGCTTCCTTTCTCACCCAAGAGTGCCGCTGGCATGACCGTGGAAATGAAATCATCGAACTCAGATTGAGGCAGCGGCGTGCCCGGCTGGCCACAGGAATAAGCCAGCTTGCTCAAAGTATCGATCCCATGGTCCGCGAGCGCCCTGAGGCTTTCGCGACTGAGGCCAACCTCGGTACATCGCGACTTGAAGTGATGCGTACTCTCTACAAGGGACGTCATGTTGAGCCCACATTCTGAAGACGAACACACTCGAATTCACTCAAGCAAGTAGCTCAAAACTCACATGTCATGTGTTCACATCCACACGCTCACACAGCACGTCGCTACGAGCACTTCGCTCACCGCTTTCTTCCCAGCACACGATACATTCATCGTTCGCCCAAAAGCGCGCTCTGCGCGGGCCTCACACATTGCGCCGGCAGGTCCGGCACTCTTTGCCACGACTGACTTCGATCCTCGTCGCTTCACGATAGTTCCCACTTACGGGTCGCCCACATGCGAGCAGCATCGGAACATCATCGGGGCTGGCAAGCAGATGCAAGACCCCACTCGAAGTGTTCACATACCACACCTGGTCTGGCTCCTCGACTTTAGCTCGCTTCCACCTACGAACAGCAGGCTGAACCGCCTCGCTCGCAGACGACGAGGAGGAAGACTGCGATGACTGAGAGGAATCGCTGCACTCATTGTCCGAGGAAACAGAGTTCCCTGCCTCGGACTCGTCACTGCTGACCACCTCAACCTTGACTGGATTGAGCTTCTCTGATCCTTTGTCGGAGCCCCGGATCGTGACCTCCTCGTTACCAACTGCTCGCCTCGGGAAGTAACTCGAGCGACTGTTATCAGGGAAGAAGTTTCCGGCTGCAACTTCTCTGATCATGCCCTGAAGCCGTCTGACCGGTGCAGCTGACAGTTCTCTGCTGTAGATGGCTTGCGTAGTCTTGACCGAGGACGCATGTCTCCCCAAGATGCTTTTCAGGTCCTCGTCAAACCCGAACTTACCTCCCCATCCCAAGCAAGTGCCTCGCAACGAGTATGCAGTGACCCTGGGGGCCGAAGGATCGGTGACCTCCTCAGGCAAACCTAGGAAAGCTCGCAACATCTTGCCCACTTCGGAGGAAGCGATGGACCTCCTCGAAGAGACGACCCCTGATTCATCGGCAGGCGCCAAGGTCAGAGGACCCCGAACCGAAGTCAAGCTTCTCCCCGCCTTCCGGAAAGCACTCAAGGCTTCATCAATCCAGCACTTTCCGTGGACCCCGATCATGGGAACTAGGATCGGCAGCAGCTTGGTCTTAAGCTGCACCTTCCTGGCCCCCTTGTGCTGGGAAACTTCGAACACTAACAACGGGTAGTCGGCTCCAGGCGGGCAGTCAACCTCGACCGACTCAACGAAAAGGAAATCGCTCGGGCGAGCCCTAGCATACAGCCTAATCAGCAGAGAAGCGAGGAGTACGCGGTCAAAGCAGTGCAAGGCTCCCGACTCCAACCTTGCGTGCAACTCGAGTACCTGCGAGACCGTAAGATCTTTAGCCTGGCGGAGTTTGCGCACGTTCACAAGCTGCTGCTCAGTGGCTCCGGCAATCCTCCTAGAATCAACTATGCCCGACAAACGGAACCCCAGCACAAAGTGAGCAAACCTGAAAGCACTCAGGACAGAAGCAGCCTTGGAGGCCGGCGCAGAAGTTTCCTTGAGGAACTGCACAAAATTCCACACCTGCACCTCATGCAGCCCGCTCGGGGCTAAGGGCTCGTGGACATCTAGCCATCGAACGAAGGTCCAAAAGGATGCAGCTCGTTTGTGTATGGTGTGCGGTGATTTCACTCCCACAGCAGCTGAAACAGCCAGTACAACGTCCTCGTAGCCCGCTTCTCTGTTTCTCATTCCCTGACAGACACACTCGAAAAGAGAGCAGCACTCAGAGTACCTCAGCACAAGTCTACTCCACATGCCGATACCTTGCTCCCTCTTACGCTCTCGCTCCGCGGCGGGATCGCGAGCTGCAGAACCCAACGCAATGGCCCAGGCGAAAATCGAACCCGACGGAGCATCCTTGGACCCGGCTTCAGGTTTGCGGGCTGCCTGGGCATTGTGTGTGATCGGCGGGAAGATCGACCCCTGCTTGCGACCTTGCAAAGGGTCCCACACACAGTCTGGGTCGAAAAGCAGCTTGGAGAACTCACTCTCCCACGGAAGCCTAAGACCGTCATCAAGTTTGCCGAATCTAGCAACATCCTGCTTAACAAGCCCTCCTACAAAGGAACCCAAAGCATCATCTACGACACCCGCGGTCGAAGCGAATGCCCCGGGGGCTTCCAAGCTAAGCCCTTCAGCAGAGGCATCTGCATGGGCCAACGACGCAGCTTTGTCAAGAACAGGGACCGAAGAAACCGACTGCTGTCGGGGTGCATTCGAGGCTGTCCCCGATTCCATGTGCCCTACATGAGAATCGTCGCTTCCGAAAATGTCTCGCATCAGACCGGCCACATCCCTATCGGCTCGCTCCAAGGTCTCCATACCAGGAGGCGTCCAAGCATCGGGGACCTGTGACGGGTCCTCTTCCCAGTCTTCCGGGAATTCAAGCTGAGTGAGGTGTAGGTCGTTCCCGACACGCTCGCAACCTAGGCTAACTCGACTGAAGCTGCCGTCCGACGATTCGCCAAAGCCTGGGAAATCCTGTGGTAATGGCACCCCACCTGTGAAGTCTCTGACCACTAGAGGCGGCAAAGGCGGGAAAGTGAACTCACCAGCCCCACCTTGAACATTTGCAGCCTTTGCCGAGGCAGGTGCGGCGGCACTTGTCTGGGATTCCATCCTAGTCTAAGGTATGAAGGAAAGGGGGGAGCGGCAGTGCTCTCCGGCGCCCCTTCAAGCCAAGTGATGCGCTGTTGCAAAAGCAGGAACTGAGCCTGCAGTCTAAAGACTGAACTCTTCAAGCTCTGTCCTTGGCACCATGCAGCGCGCCCGCCCAGGCCGCGAGGAACTATGAAGCCTTGGATTTAGCACCCGGAACCTCGTAGACAGCACTTTACCGGGATCTTAGAGGAGCCTTCTCAAAAATTTTGCTCAGCTTGAGCATCCGCACTGCGAACAGCATGAGTGTGATTCATGCACTGCAAGACAAAAGAGGGATGCTCTGTCGCGTTGTTGTCTCAAGGAAAAGGCCACTGAAGAAAACGCAAGAAGTAAAGCAACCTTTTATTTTTCAAAATCGGTCCAAGGCGGCCCACGCGAGGGCCTTCGTCCGGGCTCAAGAGAATCCACTATCTCGGAGCGAGACTGTGTGGTGACAGCTTCCTTGCGAAGCTCGTACTCGTAGGTCAGGATCACGACCCAAGGTGGTCGTAACGGAGCTTGATCCATCTTGCCTCCCTTTCCTCCAGTTGGCACCTGCATGAGATACACCTTCTCACCAAGCAAGTAGTTCGCGTATGTCAGCCATACATCTGGAGTCATGTTCTGGAAGAAAACCTTGTTCCTAAATTTCGAAGCAAGCATGGTCCAAGCATTCCCCTCAACTCTCAACACAGTTCGCAGCTCTTCGGTATGTTGCGGCATTACACCTTTGCTGCGCTGTTTCACAATCCTGACATGACCCCCAGTGTCGACAGCAGTCTGGATGCCCATAGTCCGTACCTGCTTCTTTGAAGTAACTTCAGACAATGCGCTCGCCGAAATCTCCCCATTCTCGATCTCCTCCAGCTTCGTAGAAATGTAATCATCCGAAGGTTCGAAGGCCTCCTCGAGGGATCCATGTGCCGCCTCGAATGCGACCCTCATCGCTTGCTTCTCCGTCTGCGTGACTGGCCTATTTACGCCCAACATCCGTGCTTCAGCCCTCAACTCGGACTCCTTGCTGGCATACTCCTTCGAAGTCTCCCAAGCTGAAACCACCGACGCGACAGCAGCCCTTGTTGCCTGGCTGGTGGCTTCTAATGCATGGTCGTCCTTCAATGCTGATCGTACATCGGCTCGGGAATCCGCATATGTAGAGAACCTTTTCACAGACTGAAAGTTCTGTCCCAGCTTGTACTGTAGCCCCAGAGGAACACCACATTCTTGAAAGATGTGAACCAAGTCAGAGCTAACCCTCTTGTCAAGATAATCCAGAGCACCGTCCTCTGTCACTCCCGCAGGGAGGTCAGTAGCCATGGCCGCCTGATCCGCACAGCCTCTCGTATGGGATGATCCTTACAGCGCAAATCGAAAGCAACCTAACATGAGTATGCTCAAGCGCAGTCAGCCAACATGAAAATTGTGTCCCATGTTCCATCGTCAAAGGACCTACTCCACTCTGTGAGTCCACTCCACCGGACATCAAGATGCAAGCATGCGATGCACTCCACCGGCATCGTTCACATCACTGAATCTCTACTTACTGCATCTTCCACCGGATGCGTTCTCAGCTTCCCTAACCACCGCTCTGACTGCACTCCACCGGCAGCGAAAGAACAACGCACTCAACAAAACGAACCTCCTTTTCCTTTCAAGGAGCAGCATGATCACTCCAGAAGCCCTGGGTGCTCTACTTGTGGCTCTTCGGCCTCTTCTGGCTCCCCAGGCTTGCTATCCTCGGACCCGCTTGTCGAAGAGTCCTCTACATTATCGATCTTCGGTCTGCAAAGTTTACAAATAGCATCAGCCACTCCCTCGGTCAACTTGAAGATGGGGAGGGTCTCCAAACAACTCTCTCGCCGCACTGCACAAGACTTCGAAAGATGCAATCTGCGGAAGCCTCGCCTCGAGACCGTAACAAAGTACGGTGCGTCATCTGGGTCGTCTTCCTTCTCGAATGGTTCATAAGGGCCCGGCAGTTCAGCATCTAAGTCGCCTGATGCAGCCTGCAGCCTGTCCGGTGAAATGGTGATGCCCGGATAAGCGCCTCCTAACTTCCAGGTCTCGCTGACCCCGTCCCATTGCAAGACAGTGCACGCCCGTACGATCTCTGCCCCATCAAGATGCAAGGCCTCGGCGTATGCTTTGATAGCCCAAAACAGCTCCTCTTCGATATATCCCCCGGACTCGTGGCCCAAGAGCAAACACTTGCATACGAAGTTCTGAACCCCATGCACCACCTGACGAGAAGTCAGCACGTAGTCCTGTGATCCAACCTGACCGTATGCCCAACGGCCTAAGTAGTCGCGCCGATCCTTTCCAACGCCAAGTGCAGCAGCGATGCTTGTCACTATATGTCGGGCGCTATGTCCCGTCCAATAGTTTGCCATCTGCCCTGGCAACACCAGCTCACGCGACACTTTCCACACCCCTTGCTGCCGTACAGGTGTGGGCAGATGTTGCAACAAGCGCCGGATCTGCAAAGCTAAGCCCTCGGCATCCATGTACTCTCTTGAAGGAGTTTCCCAATCACCGCTGAACGCAGGACACAAGCTCAAGGACTCGGCATTCAGCAACTTAAAGCCCTCACCAATCCAGTCGAAACCACTAAGGCAAATCACCCTCGAGACAAATGCATGAAGCTCTCCGACCTTGCGTCCGGGCCCACTCGTCTTCGTCTTCTGAAGGGTGAATCTCAATCCTAGCTGGCTCAGTTTCACACTTGCTGGATCTACATTCTGAACATCATCACAACGGAGGCTTGCCCAGATCATGAGTAACAAGATGAATGCAGTGAACCGCATGCCCAATTCGTACACTGGTCTGCACACCACCATCTCACAAGAAAGCAGCACTGCAACAGGCAGGAGCGGTGCTGGCTTAGACGGCCGACCCCCTGCCTCGAGCTCCATGTTCCATGAACGGATGCTTTCTGTCAGCAAGGAGTCTTCGCTGAGACGGTCTTCTTGAGGTACCATTCCCACGCTCTCAAGCAGTGAAAGACTTGCCAAGATGCCCTTTGGAACTATCGCAGCAATGACTCTGTTCCAGTAGGCCAAGGTCGCCCAAAAGAAGTCTGAAGCCACTCTCTCACCGGCCGCCACGCTCTAGCCCGATTCCGCAGTGTTTTGCCCCGCCGATTTCCGAAGATCCGCAGCCAATGTTGCTTGCCATCACCAAGAGCTTCCATGCGTGCCGCACACGGCGTTCTCTGAGCTTCGCTTCCAGATCTTCTCGGCTCCCGCTAGCTCTGCTTGATCGCACTGCCCGCTGCAACTGCGACAAAGCGATAGCAGGAGTTCCGGCAACCTCTGTCTCAAAGACGGTGTGCATGTCCTTCGGGGCCCTGGGCACCTTCACCGGCATCTCACGAAGTTGCAGCTCTAGAAGTCTAGCAGATGGGGGCTCCCTCCTCTGCCTCTTGCTTCTCCACTTCCAAAGCTCTTCAGCAACCCTCGCCACTTCTGATGCAGGCCGTTTGTCCCCAAGAATCTCAGCTACGAATTGTTCAGCCTCTGCTTCATCATCAAAGGCGCCATCCAGATGTGCTAAGCACGTGTATTGCTCAGCAACTGTCGCAGCTAGCTCCTCATCAACAGTAGACAGCCCGTGCCAGTTGACACTTCTCTGGGACCCGCTGCTCATCAGCTCCCGGTGTCCATGGCTGAGCCGAAGGTCTACTCCCCCCGTCTCACAAAATTGACCTCGCACCAAATTGGCCACGGCACGGCCAATCATTCAACTCGCTTCAAGAGTAAAGCAGTGTGTACTTGCCGGTTCGTCACAGGCAATCACATGAGGAAATCAAAGGCAACTTTCAAAGAAGTCAAACACGGATCATTTTCACTTTTCCCCCGGCCCACCCCCCCCTGGCTCAAACTCCGAGACAATCCTTTTGGGGAGACCCAAACGGTTTCTTCTTCTTCTTCGTCTTCTTCTTCTTCTTCTTCTTCCTCTTCCTCTTCTTCTTCTTCTTCTTCTTCTTCTTCTTCTTCTTCTTCTTCTTCTTCTTCTTCTTCTTCTTCTTCTTCTTCTTCTTCTTCTTCTTCTTCTTCTTCTTCTGCTTCTTCTTCTTCTTCTTCTTCTTCTTCTTCTTCTTCTTCTTCTTCTTCTTCTTCTTCTTCTTCTTCTTCTTCTTCTTCTTCTTCTTCTTCTTCTTCTTCTTCTTCTTCTTCTTCTTCTTCTTCTTCTTCTCTCTCTCTTCCTCTCTCCTTCATGCTGCAATACCAGGTATCCTCGCTCGAGCAATCCGTCGAATCTTCTTCAACAGACCAATCTCGTTGATCCTCTTTTCCTTCCTTTCCTTGACCGTTGCAATCCTCTTCATCTCCCAATTGAATGCTTTCCTTTTCCTCATTCCTCTTCCTTCCTTCTTCCTTCAAAGACTCTCCTTCCTCTCCTTTTCCAACTTCATGTGCTTCTCCTTGAAATCCTGTTCATCATCAATCTCCTTTTCCTTTTCTCCTTCCTTTCCTCTTTTATCAATCAACTCCGACTCTTCAACAAGGTGGGATATGTCGGATATGTATGCCAATGTCCGCGCAGTAAGGCCTCGAAATTTCTCTTCTTGCAATCTTCCAAGACTTCTCTTCCTCTCAGAATCTCTGATTTCGCTCTCAACGGCAATCATCCGCAGCAACTGATGCTGAGACGCTGGCCGAATCAATCGCCCTGATGTAGATCGACAGAATCTGCAATATCGCTTGACTAAGTCAACGACCTGATCGAATGTTCCCAATGCATCCTGATGCAATCGGAGAAAGCCTGACAATGCTTCCTCAGTCTTGCTTATGAGCAATGCAACAAGAACATCTTCACTCAATGCACTTCCGCCAGTCTCCTCATATCTCTTCTTAAGGACAATGAAGTCTGTGAAATCTTCTTCGAAGAAAAGAAGAAAATTTGGCTCAATGTTTCCATTCCTTTGTCTCTGTTGGAAATCCAGAATCTTTCGTGTAACAATCTCCATGCTTCAAATC